CACTTGCTTCATACTGACCGTTAGACTAAGACCATTAAAGCAGCACATTTTGCACTCTTATTCTGATTTTTATCTACTTTTTTTTGTGTTCAGTGTTCAAAAATGAGTTAAACATCTACATTAGATACCACAAACACAAATAGAAAACCAGAAAAATCTGTCAGAGAGAAAGTAAGCATGCTACTTTTGTAAAAATATTGAAACAACTGAAAAAGTTCAATTTTGGGCATGTAGGCTGAAATGTCACTTTTTTACAAAATTTCTATCAAATAAAAGTGGAAATCATTTATTCTCATGTAGTTTGACAAATTAATACCAATAGATCATTCAGGGAAGTTGTCAAAGTACAAATTCAATATTTCCTGAATTCACCTCTTAGGCCACAGACCACAATTAAATTCCCCTATTAGTTCTTTATAACGTTTTGTTTCATTAAAAAAATTGCACCTTGCATTTTTGTCAAATCTTTTGTGTGTATAATGTATAGTACTAGTCCAAAAATATATCCAAAATTCAGAAAGATTGAACCAATGACTCTTACAAATTTAGCCAATACACATCCATACCCCTATGGACAAGTCAAGAGATGTTCCGAAAACTGTAAATATCACCTTTTTGCACCTGGCCTAATCACTCTTTCCATATCAAAATCAGTTAAAATACAACATCCAAAAGATTATTTCATCTCTCTTCTTTTATTTCCACCCAAAAAAAACTAAGAAATGAGTGAGGAAGGGAAAGAAAAAAAATTAAGAAAAAATACACTCTAATTAAAAGGAACTATATTCGTGGACAACGAAAAGCGGGATCATTAATTGTGGTCTTGGGCCTATTAGGGGTCTAAAACTTGACCAATTCTAATAAAACTTGGCATGATTTAAGCTTAGTGTATTATAAAACAGTTTACAAAGTTTCAAAGCCATATGATACCAATTATAAAAAATGTGGCATTTTTTAAATCTGAACTTTGGGTGCTGAATTGTGGCGTTGAATTAGAACAATTTCAACTATCAAATTTGGGCTTCTAAAAACCAAAATATACCAAAACTTACATTTTTTAATGTTTCTATGTATAAGTTATCACCTATTAAAAGCAACAGATAGCATACTTCATGTTTCAGACTTATAAAAAATGGCCAGAAGTAAATTTTATATGAGCCTGTGCCAAAAAATAGAGGTTTTCAAATGAATCGAAGCCTTATATGAAATGTAATATTTTTCACTTACCACAATTTTCTGAAGTTGTTAAGTTATAAAAACACCTTTTACATGTTATAAATGTACTTTTAATGGAAATATAAGTTTCAAATAGCATAACACATGTGAATAAAATGGTCTTCAGCAATGTCAAGCTTAAAAAAAACAGGTTGTCAATTTAGGTCGTTCCCCACATTTGCATATTAAAAAGCATATAAATGATATGGTAGATAGAGATATGCTTCTTTTTGCTCAAATCTTTGTTTAGATATGATAAAACATGGAGCCTGGATGTAACATGACTGTCACTTTCAACTATATATGTAGACAGTATGATTTGATGCAAAGTTATTTACTTTACTTTTTAAAACCGGCATGAAATTTCAGCCTCAAAAGGCCAATATTTTAACCACTAGCTATCAAACAAAAGAAAATAAAGGAAGTCTGTGAAACAGACAAGGTAAAACAACCAGTAATAAGTGCTTTTGATACAGATTCAGTGAAATCTGGTAAAAGGAATTCAACTTGTATGTGCATAGAACCTCATTTTTCACTTGCTTCATACTGACCGTTAGACTAAGACCATTAAAGCAGCACATTTTGCACTCTTATTCTGATTTTTATCTACTTTTTTTTGTGTTCAGTGTTCAAAAATGAGTTAAACATCTACATTAGATACCACAAACACAAATAGAAAACCAGAAAAATCTGTCAGAGAGAAAGTAAGCATGCTACTTTTGTAAAAATATTGAAACAACTGAAAAAGTTCAATTTTGGGCATGTAGGCTGAAATGTCACTTTTTTACAAAATTTCTATCAAATAAAAGTGGAAATCTTTATTCTCATGTAGTTTGACAAATTAATACCAATAGATCATTCAGGGAAGTTGTCAAAGTACAAATTCAATATTTCCTGAATTCACCTCTTAGGCCACAGACCACAATTAAATTCCCCTATTAGTTCTTTATAACGTTTTGTTTCATTAAAAAAATTGCACCTTGCATTTTTGTCAAATCTTTTGTGTGTATAATGTATAGTACTAGTCCAAAAATATATCCAAAATTCAGAAAGATTGAACCAATGACTCTTACAAATTTAGCCAATACACATCCATACCCCTATGGACAAGTCAAGAGATGTTCCGAAAACTGTAAATATCACCTTTTTGCACCTGGCCTAATCACTCTTTCCATATCAAAATCAGTTAAAATACAACATCCAAAAGATTATTTCATCTCTCTTCTTTTATTTCCACCCAAAAAAAAACTAAGAAATGAGTGAGGAAGGGAAAGAAAAAAAATTAAGAAAAAATACACTCTAATTAAAAGGAACTATATTCGTGGACAACGAAAAGCGGGATCATTAATTGTGGTCTTGGGCCTATTGTCCGCCATTACTGGACATCACACAAGTTCCCGTAAAATTTTGACGTCATAATAGAAAATGTCTGACGCCACAATGGAAAAGTGATTGTTGTATGACATCAAAAGTTCGAGCGGGACAGATTCTCGGGTCAAGCGGGAATAGCGATAAGGTGTATTCATAGCCTGTATGTAGGAAGAACAAATGTGCACATTTTCCCTTCAAAATCTTGGGTCCATGATTATTCGATAAACATGCTTTAAAATATTGTTCATTTCTACTCACCGATTGTAATTTTCAGCTCAGCTTATATTGTACATGTGGTCTAACATCTGTAGTTTCCTGTGTAAAATATAGTTTGCCGACCTGCAGGTCCAGTTTGCCGACAAGAAAATAAAGAGGGTAAATCGTTCACGGTGAAGAAATGTTTTCCGTTTTTAATGAAACTTGACAGATCAAATTAATTATTTTTTTCTATCATCGGAAATATCCCTCATGGAAAGTAATTCAAATTAAAACTGTTTTATTATGCTATACAATATTGCTAACTTAGTCATATTCTTTAAATTTACTTCAGGTACACCGACGGTACATTTTCTATTCCTCAGAATTTATCAAAACTTTTTTCAAATATAAATTTGAATGAATTCATTAGCATCTTCTGCAATAATATTAAAACTCCATTTTTAAGCGAAGGCTTCTGGTATGTAAAACCAGTTATGAACGAATCTGAATAGATAAAATAAAAAGTAAAGATACCTAAAGGAAAGTCAAACGCACATGTATGTCAAAAATGAACGGACAATGCTATGGCAAGAAACGGAAAACGACAAAAGACAAACAACGATCGCAAAATAAATAAATAAAAAACAAAACAAGTCAACAACTGCACAATAGATAATAATAGTATAAATTATGGGCTATTTCACAACTATATCAAATCTTGAGAGCCGGGTGAAACGTAAATTTTTTTTTACACTGAGTTGCTACCGTGACGCTAAAATATTTGTCGACTGCAACAACCTATGAAATGTTTGTTTTAAACATTTAACGACTGTAGCAACCGTTAAAAATTTATAATAAACATTTTATGACTGTAACAACCTTTAAAAAGTTGTAACAAACATTTTACAACTGTCCCAACTCTAAAAACGTTGTAACAAACATTTTTTGACTGCATCAACGTCTGAAAAGTTGACACAAACACATTGCAACTGTCCCAACTATTAAAAGGTTGGGACAAACATTATACAACTGCCACAACTTTTGGAAAGACTGTAATAAATGATATTTGACTGTGACAACCCCGTAAACCACTGCAACAGTCCTAAACTGACTGTTGATAACATTTTTTGATTTTCACAACCCATAAAAGTGTTGTGACAGACATTAATCAACTGTATCAGTTTCTTTGACAGTCATCTTCAGTCTTCCACAGACTAAGACAGTCGTACAACGACTGTTACTGGTATGGACAGTTGTTTTTTCGTCCAGTAGTGAATACCAAACTACAAAGATAATTTAAAACGGAAAATCCATTATCTAATGTCGAAATCAATTGCACAACGAGTAGAAAACAACGGTCATATTCTTGACTTGGTACAGGCGTTTCCTCATGTAGAAAGTATTGGCATAAACCCGGTTTTATAGCTAGCTTAACATCTGACTTATAAAAGAGTCAAATGAAATTTGATATTGACAACAATGTGCAAACAAAATACACTGAAATAATAGTTAAAATCTCAAAATCATTGTTCAGCGTTCAAAATAACCTATACTCTTAATCACTATTAAAACAAACAAAATATGTAAAAGGGAAAACAAAATGCTATATAAACAAAACACATAAGCAAAAATGAAAAAAATAATACAAAATTAACGCCAACAAGGTAGCCTTACCCTGCTACATCCTGTATATGCCTATCCCAAGTCACACGATTGTAACGCAGTGGATGACGTTTGTTGCGTCGTATTATAATTGATTATCGTTAATTTTTCTTACATAAATTAGGACCGTAGTTTCAAATATGTCTAGCTGAGATCTGTGCCATTGCCAATACTTCCACATCTTCTTATTTCGATAGTACACGATGGCGGGATATATAGGTACCGAGCCACACCAAAAAGATATTATCAAAAAGACTAAACAATAAAGGTTAATAATTCACAAAGAAAAGTAAGAGAACACTGTAACACGTAATTAAGATGAAAAACAACGTCAGTACCTAGAATATATACTTCAAGACCGTGCCATTAGAAGTAGAAACCCGTAAAATATAACCGAAGTGAAAAAAAATGTAGAAAAAAAAAAGATTTTGGGTAAGGTCAACGAAAAACAAAAATAACGTAACTATGTTTAATAACCTCACGGAGGCAGCTTCCTTGGTTTTTTCTATATGTTACACAATTATGTTATGATTAAACCGTTATACTCTACCAAGGATGGTTGAACTGCACTTCACGAAGCCGCAAAGGGAGGGCATACAGAAATTGTCCGTTTGCTAATTGACAATAGTATTGACGTCAATATACAGTCTAAGGTAAGTTGCCGATTAAATAATATAAATATCATTGAAAAAAGTGAATAGAAATTAAAAACTGATCAAACAGCAATCACCTTCTTGACAAACATAGTAATTTACAGAACACCACAATGCACTGTTAATACTGCCTTACTCGCCAATGGCGTACACAGGCAGTAAGTTAGAAAGTTCACAGCTCAGTGAATGCTTCTTCAATGTTTTTATATAAATTTCTTGCAAAAATGTAGTCTTATGAATTTATACTATTTACCCGCTTTTTAATAGGGTTAAGCGACGTTTAATTGCACATATCTGGCTGGAAAATACAAATGTTAAATTATATTTGAAGCCATTGTTGATGAAATTATGAATATGATCTATCCATCAATGTATTGTCATTTGCTGATCTCCTTTACTTTGCATACCATGCAAAACTCGACAACGGCTTATGCCATCTACAGTTCCACACTTTAACTGGTAGATTAAGATGCGTAATCTAGATTCGAATCATCTGAAGTGAATTTAAAGGATACTTATATATGGTCCAGTTCATATAAAAAGGTACAAGAACGAAAAGTTAGCGAGATTAAAAAAAGTGTTCATAATTTTTAAAGTTGTGATTAACATGATTGATAAAATACCATTATTATCCAATGCATTTAAGCTGTAAGTTATTTACACATTTCAGTCCTAGCCCGCTTTTTTTATGATTATTTTCAATATTTTCAAATTTTATATTCATTTGTCCATGTTCAGTTTAAATGTCTTATCAGGCCGGTAGATAATGTTATCTCAGGTAGCTCCATTTTATGGGGACAATGCTATTGCTTAAATGGCTGAAATCCATTCTGTTTAATGGTTACAACTGTTCGTACCACGACCGAGGACTGTTGATTTATTGATATTGAATAACTTACCTTGACTTAAATTTCAAAACCACAAGATGTCATCATTTTGCATTCATTTTATTGTTCAACTGTTGAATGTTAACCATTTCTCTATGTAGGACAGTAAATAGTTTAATTATGTCTAAATGTAACATTTGTCCGTGTAATAAAGGATTTGACACTGCTTAAGTATAACCATTTAGATATTTCTACGTAATTTTCGCTTTAACTGACAAATTCGGGACCGAATTTACCTTTTTGCTGGAAGTTTACATTTATACCAATGTTTATGGGTAAAATCATTTTTACAAAATTATTTTAAATACCTTCAACAACGTGTCATGTTACCTTTACCAACAACACATTTTGTACATTTTCGCATTTAGCCACCCAACAGTTTATGAAACTGAAAAAAAAGAAAAATGATTTGATTTGATTTGTTTTTGGTGTTTTAACGCCACTTTTAAGCATCGCTTTTGGGCTATTTCGTGGCGGCCAGTTTTTTTTTTGGTGGAGGAAGCCGGAGCGCCCGGAGAAAACCACCGACCTTCGATAGGAAAACTGACAATCCTAGTCAATTAAGATTGGAGTCGTGTGCACCCGCACGAGCGGGGTTCGAACTCACAACCTCAGTGTTGACTGGCTAGTGATTACAGTAGTAACTACTTAGACCACTCGGCCACCGAGGACCCAAAAGAAAAAATGAAAAACCGACAATAAGAAATTAGAAAAAACAAAAGCATCATACTTTATATCAAACCCTAAAGTTTAAGGCAACTTTAAGAAATAAATTTGTCATAGCTACCAACATTTACCCCTCAGGCCACACCAATTTAATTTCTTATTCTACGAATTTTTCGACTCCACAAATTAGGGCGAGCGAGCGATTTGAAAATTTTAATAATAAAAAAAAAATTAATTTGCAAATATTTTAGGCGAAGCTTGAAAAAGGCGAGCGTTTATAATTTTTTTTTTAAAACATAAAATAATAAGTTTTGACAATATTTATCAAAATAAGATGGTATAAAACTTGATTTACAACATGTACTTTGATATGCAGTGTTCTTTTTTCCTCTTCACCAAGAACTGATAGAATAATTATTTCAATTGCTTAAAATGATCTCCATTGAATTGTCATAGATGTCTTTCCTCCTTTACGGGACATGGCGACTGTCTTGCAAGAAGCAGGAACTGCTCATCCTTCCAGAATATCCGTGTTCACTTTTAGTTTTTTTGGGGTTCAAGCTGTTTGTTGATGCGTGTACATTTTTAGTGTTTTGTATTATATGTTGGTTGTCTGTGTCTCTGTCGTTTTAGTGTTCTCATTTTAGTTCTTTGTCTGTTTTGCACTTTGTATATACATAAGATGTGGTGCGAGTGCCAATGAGACAATTCTCCATCCAAGTCATAATCAGGTTGGGAACAACCCCTAAAATGATGAGAAACCCCTCAATGTAATAACTCTGTTTTATGAGGGGTACATTTCAAGTGATATACAGTATTATTTTTGTAAAAAAACACTTTGTAGTACAAAAGGGCACATATTTATATTCTTTGAAGAACCTTTTCCCAAAGAACTATACATCTATCTGGTATTATATGGCCAAAACATGTCCACGAATTTTGTAATATTCGTGGACCATTATGTATATCTTCTTAACTATTAAACATAAGTGGACCCCTTATCTAGAAAAGTTGATCCAAATATGATGAATTTTCCCCCCTTTTAAGTTTAAAAATCTAAGTTTTTCTCTTTTTTTTCTTAAACAGTTAAATGACCCCTTGTCTGAGGGACAGTCCCACATTTAAGGGAATATTCATTTGGAGGGTTGTTCCAAACCTGATAGTGTTTTTAAAGTTAATACAATTACAGGTCAAAGTACGGCCTCCAACAAAGGGCTTTTGCCCAGACCAAACAGCAAGCTATAAATGACCATAAAATTACATGTGTAAAACAATTCAAACAGGAAAACCAACAATCTAATCTATATACAAACGGAGAAATACACATAAAACTCACCAACAAACGACAACTACTGAACAACAGGCTTCTGGCGCAGGGCAGGTGCATAGACATATAGCTGGTTTGGATAGGTTTGTTCCGCCGGCAAATAATATTGCAGTTGAAGGTAACACTTCTCCTTCAGAAGTTCTGCGTACTTTATTCTAACAACGAAAATCAGCATGATTTCGCAGGAGAATGTAAATAAGGGGGAAGGAAACCAATGTAAATATATCTTTTAAATGTTTACAAAAAAAACGAACGATGCAGGTAATAAACACGATTACTTTCGGATGCGGGAGGCGGGAATATATTTTTTTTTCCGTTTTGAAAAAAAAAAATTATGTGCGGGCGTGTCCGACGAACAAGGAATTAAATTGATGTGGCCTTATAATAATACACCAATCAGGAGAAAACTCCATATCCCAAACGATTACACACTGTGCAGCTTCTAATGGATTTAGCATCTATAAAATAAAATCAACAATAGTATACCGCTGTTTAAAAGTCATAAATTGATTGATTGATTGTTGATTGTTGGTTGCTTAACGTCCAGTGGCAAATATTTCATGCATATTCAGGACGAGAACAAGTTCACAATAAATACAATAGGTAGGTTCTGTAATAGATTAAGGGATTAAGGTCGGAGAAATTTAGTCTGCCATAAATCGATTGAAAGAAAACAAATCTGGGTTGCAAACTAAAACCGACAGAAACACATCAAAACATATAGAAACTTTTTTATATTAAAACATGTAAATTGCAAAAAGCACATCTGAGAAATATTAAACATATGAACAACAATATTTAACGGCTCATATGTTTTCTTTCAAGATGAGTTACATCTCTGTTTTCACGTTTAATGGAACTTACCGATCTTGAATAATTGTAATAAAAATAAACATATCTCCTGTTTAAACGTCATGAAAGTTGCACAATTGACATATTTAATCTATATTAACCTTCTGCATGTTCTGTTTTAGAAATATTAAATACAAACCATGCCTCATACGCACTGAAATTAAATCCACAACTACAAATTCAAATTAAACATCTACAAAATGCAACATTGTAGTCAACAGGGCGACCCAGACACATTGTCAAATATGTGCTCAAATCTGGGCTATTTACTCCATATAATTAATATATTTTGATTACATGATCCTGTTTGTCACTCTTTCCACTTCTGACAAACTAATCTAAACTGAATATATATATTTCCATCTTTCGAGTATTGTTCAATAGTAAAACAAATTGTTTATACAGTATTTAACTCTCCATCATACATATTTTCTGGTTCTTACATAACAGTTTTCATAAAGGATGTTAATGTTAACTTATGCATATGTACCTTTTTTGATATATAATACGAAAAATTATTATGGGTTCAAGATTTTACCCTTCATGTGAGATGTAATGTGTATATCACTAACAGACATGTTAATGTAGGTAATGTTTTTGTAATTGTCTAACAAGGATAAGTTGACCGCACTGCATGAAGCTGCACAGAATGGAAATACAGAAGTTGTCGATTTTCTAATTGAAAACAATATTGATGTCAATATACAGTCCATGGTAAGTTGAACATTATATATTAAATATAAAAAATCAAAAATCAAAAACATTAATAGAAATTAAGTTTCTGTCGTCAGATAAAAACCAATTTTGGATTTTGGAGAAAACATTGCAATTTACAAGACACATTCAAGCTCAGTAACTGCTAATTAACTAATGTATTGATATATCGCTTAACGATAAAGTGCAGTAACATTTTCCAAGCTTTTCACGTATGTATAACCACTCCAAACAGAATATATTTATTTGTAATACTCTAGAAATTGACAATGAGGGTCGGGTAAATACAAAAAAAACAACAAAAAACGACAACATAGACAAGAGAGATGATTTCAGCTTCCCAATTGTGAACTTTTCATTTCTATGTAGCAACATTCCAGCAGCGCCTGCATACGGAGTATATATCCCCCAATTAATACGATATTCACGGGCTTGTATTTCATATTTTGATTTCCTTGATAGAGGATTGCTGCTCACAAGGAAGCTAATTATACCAAAAGTGCCGAGTGGTGAAGTTGAAATCATCCCTTCGTAAATTTTACGGACGCAATGACGAGTTTGTTGACCGGTTTGGAATATCCGTTTGAATGTCCCTCTGGTATCTTTCGTCCCTCTTTTTCAAGTCATGACAAAAGGTATCTTATGTAAATTTTAATTGCATGTGATCAATCCCTCTGCTCCCACGTCATGATCTATCTCAATTATATATTAATCTTACATAATGCCATGTTATTTGGTAGTTTTGTTTATTCCTGTTAGATTGACGGATATAGTTAACGGGTAAACAAAAGCTAGAATTGTCACTGAGGACTAAATGCAGATAGCCATCTTTGAACATTTGTTTTTATAGTGAATAAGATAATAACACAATGTTGACTGCTGTACCCCTTTTTTGACATTATTACCTTTTATGTCTGTTTGGTTTGATCACACATCGTTGTAAATATAATGGAATTTGATGCGACTGTCATACAAATGAGGGGTCTGCATAGGATACACAGGTCAGGAATATGACAGTTGTTATCCATTCGTTTGATGTGTTTGATCTTTTGATTTTGCCTTTGATTAGGGACTTTCCGTTTTGAATTTTTTTCGGAGTTTAGTATTGTTGTGATTTTACTTTTTTTAAATAACTTTTTCGAATTAGCTTTGATTTTCATTTTACGCTACAGCTATTTCAATTTTATATTTTACAAAATGGCAGGTCAACAAACAATCAAGATACAATTTTTGCAAAGTGCTTGAACAGTTTAAACCGACAAGTCAGTATTTCGTCCACAACTAGAAATAGATATGATTTACATTCGCAGACTATATTTTATTGATAGTTTCACCGTCATCTCGTGTAACTATTAAAAAGAAGATGTGGTATGATTGCAAATGAGACAAATCTCCACAAGAGACCAAATGACACAGAAATTACTAACTATAGGTCACCGTACGGCCTTCAACAATGAGCAAATCCTATACCGCTTAGTCAGCTATAAAAGGCACTGAAATGAAAAATGTAAAATAATTCAAACGAGAAAAGTAACAGCCTAATTTATATACAAAAAATAAACGAAAAACAAATAACACATCAACAAACGACAACCACTGAATTACAGAACGGATATGCAGGCGCTGCTTGAATGTTGCTACATAGAAATTGAAAGTCCACATTGGGAGCTGAAACTATCAAAGATATTGTATCCATTATCGGGTTTCGACATATATCCGTTATATATATATTTTTAGTATCTAATAATTATTTATATATATTGTTTTTGTGGATTTTCTTATCTTTTCGTCATTTTATATTTTGCCGTAGCTTTGCCAATTTTTCTTCGATTTTGAGTGCTCACTATAGTTCCTAGGACGTTCTTTATTGGTATTAACAGACAACAGAAAATAGAATATACCATCCAGTGTTCAAAATTTAAAAAAAAAGTCTATAGTGATAAATCAAGTTATTCGTTTCTGATGCAGCCCATAAAGTCCGCCACTAAGCAAGTTTGAAAAAATCCATTTCATAATAAACGTTTTAAAACTTTTTATAGCAAACCAGTACTATACATCCATAGCCGATACACATTTAAAATATAACAATAATAACATTGACCTACTTGGCAGCGAAGGTTGATAATGTCAAATTAAAGAATTTGTCGTAACTTTTATAAATAATCTTATCATGAATAGCATTAATAAAACTCATCATACTAATTAAATATTATAAATACATCCATCATATATACTATAATTAAACTCATCATAGATAATAAAAATAAAGTCATCATAAGAAAATCATTTTTATATCTGACTATTGAACACTGGCGAAGAAAAATTCTGGATATTTGCAGATATTTCTCGGTAACTGATATAGACATCATTTTAGAATAGTGAAGCTTATTATTGATTCTTACTCTAGTTTAGTTCAATAAAGATAAAATTGAAAATGAAAATAAGAAAAATTTCAAATAGACAACAACTCGACCAGCACAGCACAATGCCACCAACGGGTCTTCAACACAGCTTGAAAATCTTGCATCAAGGAGGCTGGTTTTAGCTGGCCCCTTAAACAAAAACATGTAGTAGTTCAGTGAAAATGGGCGTCACAATAAACTCCGACCCTGATAAATAAACTGATTAAATAATCCTGTTCTTATATTTAAATCTTGCTAACATTATGACCAAACTAGTTTGACTGTGGTAACAAATCTGAAGAAAATAAAAACGCTTACATATTTTGTCTTAGCGCTATAGAACGCTTTGTTCGATTTCAAACATACCTGAAATAACTAAGGCCCTTCAAAGATGAGTACATGATAAGTTAATATGTTTATTAGAAGCACATTGACCTTGCCACCAGATTGTGGTACAAACATGTGTATTTGTGAAAAAAGCATTTGTAAGTTACAAAATCCAAACATACACTAACATTTGATTGGTGATTGAAAAACCCACTACCTACCACTCTGTCCTTAACCTGCAATGCTTGCGATGATTGTGTCTGTCTACAACGTTTAAAGAATATTTACGATATAACATGCTTTGGAAAACCCTAACTTGGCAACAGTACATGACTTCTCTACAATGATGTTTCATCAAATTGTAAATTGGTAAGGTTTATAATCGGTTACCATGTGATGTCTTGAAGCAGTTTCATTGATATGTGGTTTCATCTGGTATGTTTATTAAAAAAAATTACCTACCGTTCTGAAATGATATATCTCAATATAGGAATATAAGTGGTCCTTAATAAATAGTGCGTACAATTCATACTGAAATTGTCCGGTCACTTAGACTATACTTCATCAATATAATATCACAAGTTTTGTGTATAACATCACAGGATTGTGTGTTGCAATGACATATAACATTTCAAGAAATTTCATAGCAAAGAAAGAAGAAATAATTTGTTATATAAGATCTCCAGCATCATAGACAGACTTCCTTAGAGATTCAATAACAAAAACCTAACTGATCAAGAAACACCTGTATAATTAACGCGATGTATATATATATATAACGCAACACATTAACATTGACCAAAGCGATGTGGGGTAATATCAATAACAATAGACAATGAAGATACAGATGAATCAAACAAAACAAGGGTCATCATTTCAACCTGCGTCATACGTATACTGTAAACTACACAGAAAACAACACGAAATCAAACATTGATAGAAAATATAGGCAATACCAAGATTTGTGTCCTAGACTATGACGGGAAATATAAGCATTGAGGTGCACTGAAAGCTCGCTGAAAATTCACACCATCAAAAAAAAGTACTGCATATATGTTTTGAAAAGAAAACTACATAATGACAAAAATCACGAAAGTCTTTTAAAGAGTAAGGAGAGCATTTCATCCAACATATAATCCAAGCATGTGCAATTTTATGATGAAAAATAAAACAATAACTTATAAATACAGAATCAATAAGACTGCATGGTTAAGACAATTTGCGTAAAAAGCTAATGCGTTCTACTATTATACAGTTCATGATAAAATATAAAATACAGAAAGTAACCGTGGTATGCCTCCTATATATATACTCATTAATGATATTATGATACGACACCTTAATAGCCATGCTCTTTTACATATCAATGTCAAACTACAATGCTTAAACTCTTGATTGTCAAGATGTGGTGATTTTCCTTCAATGTTGATTTAATATGTTTATCATTTTAAACGTTTGTCATTTTTTAGTTTAATTTGAAGTAAGACAGACAGACTTTCTCAAGAAATCAGTATTTATAATAAAAGAAATTACCGATTCCTGATAGTAAAAAGGCAATTTGAAAATATTTTTACAAGAATATTTAGACATTATATATAGACGTAGTAGCTCTATCTATGGTGCGTTGTATAATATAAATTGCTGATTGATTCCCTTAATTATATTAACATGTTTACAGCAGTATGTGATAATGATACTGTCCTATTTATATATTATACAGGTGACAGAGTTGACATATTTGTTTTGAATTTCCCTCTGGTATCTTTCGCCCCTCTTTGAGAACAAGCTTGCGTAGTTTTAATTTATTTTAGAGGACATATCTTGCTATTTTATCCTTTATTGCTATGTGTTTTTCTGTATCCAGAATCGTCAAACTGCACTTCACATGACTACTGGTAGACGGAGCGGAACAGTTGATATCGTAAAGTCGCTAATTAACGGTGGTGTTGATCTTAACTTACAGGACAAGGTAAATGGATGACATATCTGGTATCAATTAAGATGACATTGTTTAAATCTATCATTATTTCATGTATTCCATGCAATTTGTATAGTGTAATAATATGTAAAGACGATGACGTCATTGTAGTAAACATAAATGTGATTGTTTTTCTTTGTGTATCTAACATTCTGTAAGGTCCAGATTGCAATAGCATTTGTAACTTATTTAAAAGTTGTATATATGGATAACATTTGAAAAAGGCTCCTGTTTGAAATATTAGGCAAAGTTAACCGCAATTTTCTAAAGAATGCATAACATAATCTAATTCATTACCTTTTGATGTTATATGTTTATTGAAGATAGTACAGCTATGTCGGCAGTGGCAAATATTACAGTTTTATTGGCAGCGCCTAAAGACTGAGTTTTTCTTAAAATATTTGAATGAAATTAGAAAGTAGTTTTCACTTGAGTTAAAGATATTTTAAACGAAATCCAGAAATGTTTTTAATCATGCAGATTTAAAAAAAAACCAAACCAATAAGCAGGAAGAATAAAAAAATCATTTCAGTTTTCTTTGATAACTATTTAAGCATCATATACACATAAATCATTCTTACAAGGCGTATTTGGCAACAATACCGGTCAAGAGGTAAATAAATTTTAAGAGCCGTAATGCAAGGGAAATTTGTATACCTCTAAACTTGTATTTTTGGCAAATACCCATTGTAAGCATGATGTCGTTGTTTATTTGACCGAATGTACTTTGTATCCATCACAACAAAAAGTATAGAGGTCTTTGGACATTCCGTTATTTTTAGACGTTGTATTTCCCATCTACCGTGGTATTTGCTTGCAAATACCCCTGCACATGGAATTCCCTATTGAAAAATACACCGGTAGAGAACAGAAAGCTATAAATATAGAAAATGAGGGAAACATACTATTTCTCTCATCAAATAAAAAAAAAGCATTATTAAATAAGATGGAATTATCTCAAAAATTTATATAATATTATATAAAAATGAGTTATGCATGAAACACTGTTTTCCATTCTACTAGATGCAATGATGAAATACCCCGGCACATGGAATTTCCTAATGAAAAATACACCGGCAGAGAAAAGAAAGCTATAAATAAAGAAAATGAGGGAAACATACTATTTCTCTCATCAAATCAAAATAAAGCATTATTACATAAGGTGGAATTATCTCAAAAAATCATATAATATTATATAAAAATGAGTTATGCATGAGACACTGTTTTCCATTCTACTAGATGAAATGATTAAACATAAAACTTTATAATCGATCACATCCTTGTAAGAAAATAACATAAACTACATGTTATATACCTTGATATGTAATTTAGGAAATGATTCATGGAAGTCATAGATTTGTTGGAAATTTACACATGGCCTTGGCCGTGTTATTCGAATTTTATCCTGAGCGTTATCAACGAATATCACGGCCCAGGCCATGTGTAAATTTACAACAAATCTATGGCTTCCATGAATTATTTCGATTCTAATAGGACAAATATGGTCATTAAAAAACTGAAGCGAGAGTAAGTATGCCATGTGTACGGCTGTTCTATTTTACCCACTGTTCATTGAATGTACAACAAATCTAATAAATCTGTAGCTTGCATGAATCATTTCTTTAATAACCGCTAGGAAAAAATGTGATTGTTTTTTTAAATTCTCAAACCCAACATTTGCCATTTTTAATATACATCTTTTTATCTTTAGCTCCCGTCAAATTCACTGTTGAAATTTTGTAGCCAAGGAGCCGCCATGCTGACTTGCTGAAATCAGTAAATGTGCGAATAATGCAATAAAACAGAAAAAAAGCAACACCTACCTCAAAAATTTATTTTAATGCAATTTTATCCGAATTTTCAAGGTTAACCAATTGAAAAACCTTCAGCGAAGCTGCGTTAATGTTTTCATTCGTATGACGTCATGTTTTGAAATGGCATTACTGCGCCAAATACATTAATGGAATTTCGCGGAATTTTAAATTAATTTGATTTTGTACATTTTTTCCGTCCCTAATGCATAAGTTATTTTTGTTATGCCTCAGAATAAGGATAAAGGTTATGCAGGGTTTTTCAATTGTAATTTTTAACTCAGCAAAATCGACAAAGCGTATGCACACAGGTTTAAACGATACATGTGGATTTACGTGGGAGATATATTATAACAGCCATTATTATGTACATGTCGGAGTCTAAATATAGATATATCGAAAATTTTATCACGGTGTTGTTTACAAAGCGAAAGAAGCACGTCAGATTAGAATACGTTGTACAATTTCATGGTTCTTAGACGCTGATGCGTCCAATATTTATAAAACAGCATAAAAAGTAATAAGACTCCTACAACTATATCATTCCAATCCAACTACAAGAAAGAAGTACGTATACAATGATTTAAAACAAAAATCTGGATTAAATTTATACAAGATCTTATATAGTAATTATTCTACTATTCATAAATACTTCGTTTAGTGAGTTGATGGTCAGCTTAATCTTTTTAACATTTTGCCTGCAGATGATTCCTGTGACTTATATAGATTTTAAGCAGTATATTAAGGAGTTTATTATTAAGATAGGTAGGAATCCATGACTATTTTCTACCCACAGCTTCCATCGAGGGGTGCTACGGTTGCCTTTGAATCTAAGGTGCCTGTGGAGGTAATACAAGTTCATGGCGATTGGGCAAGTGATGCCTATAAATTGTATCTTCAATTTTCTTTATCAGAGAAAGTCTCCGTTGCTAATGCCATGACTAAATTTATCCCTTAATTGCAGTAATAAAGAAGAGGGTTTTAATCTTGTGTGATTCTATCGGGAAATATGTGGATTGGATGAAAGACACGGTAGTACAGAGTTTTAGTGAAGCTAATTTAGGTTACATTAAATATATTATTGATCAGGAGTGTTTGTATCTTCATGATTTTGATAGCTTTTCTCATGTTATTTTACATTTAGGTACCAATGATGTAGAGAATCATACTCCGGAGATTATTTCATGTAAATTTAGAAATTTGATCTATAGTATAAGAAATAGAAATAGAGACATAAATATATTGATATCTTCTAATTTACCGCAACCAGCTGATTTTGTTCAGTTAGGAAGTAAGGTTGTTGAGATTAATAAAGCCTTAGTTGGTATTTGTAAAGATGAGAAAATAAGTTTCATTAAGTCTAATAGAAGATTTTTATTAAAGGGTTCTCCTAAAAGAGATTTATTTGCTATTAAAGATGGAGGTTTGTATTTAAATGCAGCAGGAGTTTTCCAACTTAAAATGTGTTTTATTCATGTCATTTCGCATTTGTAAATTGCATATGTTTAATTAGATAGTTGTGAATGAATGAATCTTTTATTCTCATAAACTAAATACAAAGTTACAGAGAATGGAACATATATATATACATAAATAGACTAAATACATGCATGTGTGAAATACTACATGTAAGTTACATAGTTTAACTAGGAGGACATACTTTCACATAATAATTTTAATAAATTTACACAGTTTTTCTAATTGCACAGTATTTGTAGAATTGAATAAGACATAAAATTTGTATGTGTTTTGATTTTTCCAAAAATAATCAGTTAACATTTTTGTTCTATCTGTTTTAAGTGCTTCGCAAGTCATAATGTAGTGGTATTCGTCACCAATGTCAGTTGAGACACAAAGATGGCATACTCTATTGTCTCTTGCAAGACCCTGCCATCTTCCCGTCTCAACCGGCAATCGGTGACTGCCACATCTAAATGTGCACAATGTATACAAATGGTTATTTGACAAAATATTAAAATATTTCTCATTCTTAATTTCTGTCTTAAAAATTCTATAAAATAATCCTTTTTGTGAATCATCTATATCTGACAACAATGACTGTTTATATTGGTCTTGCAATTTTTGTCCAACACTTTTTGATACCCATTTATCAGCAAATTGCATATTCCATATGTTTGACATTCCACAGCTGTCTAGAATATTTTTTATATAAACAAGCCACTTGTTTTCATATCCATACATAGTAAAATTAACTAATAGAAGTTTATATAGTAAACAAGATATTTTACTTTCTTTATCATTTAATAATCTACCCCAGAAATTTATCATACGACATTTTGCCTTTAATGATATAGGATATCTGCTAAGCTCAGCATAAACAATAAAATTTGTTGTGCTTTGTTTTAAATGTAGAATCATCTTACAGAATCTGAGGTGAATACGTTCCAATAAATCAAAATTTTCAAAACCCCAAATTTCTGAGGCATAAATAAGAACTGGCGCTAGAGCTTTATCAAAAATATCTAACTGACACTCTATAGATATATTGTGTTGTCTGCATTTTTTTAAGGCAGAGTACATTGCTTTCATACCTTGCTCATATAAATGTTTTCGTGTTGTCAAAAACGAACCACTTCTTGCAAAAAATATACCAAGGTACTTGTAGTTTTTGACAATTTCAATTTTACTATCATCTATAAAAAAATTCAAGTTTTGTGGAATTCTACCACCTAAAAAAATTAATATTTTTGTTTTTTCAACATTAACCATCAGCTTTCATTTTTTACAGTAACTTGAGAAAGCATTTAACATATTTTGTAAATCAGAACTGTTTTCTGCTAACAGAACAGTGTCATCAGCATATAAACATAAACATATTTTCAAGTAAACGTCAAGTTCATTTTCTAACTCTGAGTTAATAAAAGTCAAACCAGATAAATTTGATCTCTCTAAAAATCTTGGAGATCATTTAGATATACTTGAAAATAAGGCAGGAGATAGGATTTTCCTCTGTCGGACACCGATTTCGCAAGAGGAAAAGGCTTTCTCATTATTATGAATTACACATGACTTAATATCTTTGTACATGTTCTGCATAATTCGATAAAATATACCGTCTATGCTATTATTTAACAGTTTGCATCAAAGTAAATTTCTGTGAATAGAATCAAACGCGCGTTGGAAATCAATAAAAGCGCAATGTAACTTTTTCTTCTTTACTTTCAATAGTTCAAATAATGCGTGCAACGAAAATATATGATCATTTGTGCTATATCCATGCCTAAAACCTGCCTGATTTTCGTGAAGTATTAAAAGTTAGTCTAGGTAATCACATAGTCTTGTATTCAATATAGAAGTAAATATTTTCCCGAGGCAAGATAAAAGTGTTATTGGCCGATAATTCTTCGGCTCTGATTTACTACTTTTGTTTTTAAACACTGGTATTACATTGCCTATAAGCCATGCCTCAGGTAAAATACCGGTATCAAAAATCAAATTAAAAAGATACACATAAACATCACACAAAAGATCAACAGTTGAACATATGTATTCATTTATTATCAAATCATCTCGAGGTGATTTGTTATTTTTAACACTTTTGATAGCTTTGATAACTTCGTCTTTTGTAATAGTTTTGTTCAAAAAATCATTTGATTCCTCGTGATAAATATCGAAATTAGGTTCCGATTTGGCCTCATAATCTTTATTTTCATTCATATCCTTAAAGAAATGAAAAAGAGATTGTAAGTCAATTTCATTATTAACCGTCTTTTTTTCACAATCAAAAGTTTCCAAAATTCACGGGGGTTTTTGGTTCTTAATTTTTTCTTTTTTTGTCTAAAATCAAAATTAAAAAGACGAATGCTATCGTTCATAGTTCTCTTATAATGATTTTCACTATTTCTCAATCGTTGCTTAAATACATTAGAGCCATAATGTTTAAATAATCTTAATAATATATGCTTGTCTACTTATAATACAATCTTTATTAAACCAGTCTTTGTTATTTTTTTATTCTTATATTTAGACATATTGACATGTACACCAAACGTTTTTCAGCAGGTTGAAGAAGAATATTTGTTACATCATCTACTAAAACATTTATAAAGTTTTGGTCTACAACATCTATATTTTTCACTCTTTTCTAATAGACGTGAAAAAAGTTCATCAACCTCATCATTATTTATGTTACCTGTGAACTCTAATATTTGTTCATGCTTCCATTTACCTATATGTTCAGTATCATTTGTAGAACACGATTTAGTCTCCTCTAGTGAGACTTTTTCACAATTTATCTCGAGAAAAAATGGAGAATGAATATCTAAAAAAAAGACTGCAAGATCAGAACTTCAAAATCTTTAATTTTACACATCATATTTGCTGAACTTAACACATAATCAACAACGCTTAAATTTCTACAAGTTGGTTTACCAACTCTATCTGCAAATAATCGTCCGTTTAGTATAAACATATTGTTGTTTTTACAAAAAATAATAAGTTTTCTACCAAAAGAATTCACATAATTATCTGGTGAAGTGCGTTGTTTAGGAATATCAAGATTATCAAATATATCTACATCTGAAAAATCAGTATAATCAAATAAATCATTGAAAATGTATCATCTAAATCATTTACTTCATAATGATCTGAGATTTCCAGGACGACTATTAAAATCGACAAATAAGATGACATACGGCGTGTCTTTAACAAAATTATGAAACTCAATCTCTATTTCTGAAATAGCATCATTTACAGCATAAACAGTGTTCTCGGGTGGTATATAAACAATTCCAAAAACAATATCTTTTGACAAATTTAAAGTTTTCACATTGATTTTGAACCAGAAAACAAAAAGACAGTCCGTATTTATTAGATGCACTATTTTTTTAAGAGATTTTTTGAAGCCACCTGTTCTATGATTAGACATTTTTGTTCTATTTTTAAAATGAAAAATAAAATTCTCACAAGTTATGTCATCAAGATCGTCTAATTTTGTTTCAGTAAAACAAACAATGTCATGTTTTTGTAAGAGGTGTTTAAACTCTGGACAAAGGAGTCTAATCTTCAGACCACATACATTCAAAATAATTAACCTTTAAATTGTTATTTGTATTTGACAAAGATTTATTATTACCGTTACTACTGTTTAGATAGTGAAAGTCTGATCCAGTAGAGTAATCATTTGGATAACAAGAGTCACGTGATCCTCCATGATACACCTATGAATGGTCTTTTTGGGGCTCGCGACGGGATATTTCATTCTGTCGTTGTTTCCTTGTATTTTTCTGGCGCGCTCCTTGGCTAATATACACCTGTCTTTCGTTGGTTTCCATTCTGTTGTCTACAGGCGGGATGAATTCGACAACGTCAATAAACAGTTTGTCGTTTTTAAAATTGGCTTTACGCTTCTGTTTTTTCGCCTCCTTAAAGAATGGCCATAATGATTTGCGGCGATCGTTTATTTCTTGAGGGTATTGTTCGTTGACACCAAACTTGGTTTCTCTTAATGCTGAGGCAGCAGAACGAACATCTTCTCGGTCCTTGAAATTTTTGATGCGGCAGATAATTGGTCTTGTTTTAAAAAGCGGTGTGCCATCTCTGTCTTTCACCTTCGAATCTTTACCAAACCTATGTGCTCTATGAAATTCCATTGGTGGGTCCATCTTCATCTCGTTTGCCATAAATCTGGAAATTAAGGCCTCTGTGTCTTCAGTTTCAAATAGATCTGACAATGGAATCCCTGTGAACACTATATTTTCTCTCATTGTTCTTGTCTTTATTTTTAGATGGCGCTCAACAAGTTGATCGAAGTATCTCTGCAAATGACCAACATATTGGGTCACATCATCATGCTCTGTCTGTAGTTTTGAAACTGATGTTGTTAAATTCTCCCTTTCTTTTTTCACTTGATTCAAATTTTTCATTCATAAATTCCATGCCTTTTTCAAAATCTTTCATGTGTTTGGTAATTTTGTCAACATTGTTTACAAAAGTGTTCATAGTGGTTTCAAATTTATTAAGTTTATCATTAAGGTTTTCCAATGTAGAGAGTTTCTGAAACATCTGGTCAATTTTTTGGGTAAGAACATCGATTTTATCAACACCCTGGTTCATGCTCGATTGCATAAAAGGCTGAATCATATTTGAAACTGGGCTTGGAGCATCAGTAGGTCCTGTGAAAAAATCTGGTAATCTAGGATTGAAGTTTTGAAAAATCTGTTGTGGAATATGATTTGCTTGCATTTGCTTGCATTCTTTGTATATTAGGAGACCCGCAATAAGTATTCATTGTTTTAAAGTTTGCTCAACTGGGTTTTTGATTGTCTTATGTTTCTTTACATTTTCGCTTTGAGAGTGAGTACTGTTCTGTTGTAACTTACTAGGTTTTTCATTGCTATCATTCTGACCTCTTGATTTCTTTCTTTTCTTTCCAGTTCCGGCATTCTTTTTTCGAATTTATAAGCTATCTGCATCAGAAAACTTAATAAGTTCGTTTGAATACTCAGGAATCAGTTTCTTAACACTTAAATATCAATGTTTTGACAATTTTTTAGGACTAGAAAAATTTTACGTCCATATCTTTTCACACATGTGCAATAGTAGTTTGTTAACTTTTTCTTTGTTTTTATTTTGTAGATAACCATTCAAGTAGGTGGCTTACAGTGAAGTTCTTTATTCATTGAGTCAGAAGATTTACAAAGAAGTAAACTATTCTTTGGATCGTCAGTAGGAGATTAACAAGAAAGTGTCGTATTAATTTCTTGAGACTCTTCAGGCTTAAACAAAAAAAATATCAGTTTGTGGGTCTGATTTATTACTATTCTAATATTGCTTTATCTGTTTTTTTTTGTTTTTTTGTTTTTTTATTGCGGGCTTGTTTATCGATTTTTTCTTGTAGGGCCCGCAATTCTGTATACTCTATGTCATGTATATGTATACATTATTTGTTAAATGAACTTGTACAATAATTTTTGGCCAAAATAAAAGTATCATTTATCTTGTTTTCTATTCTGAGCCAGAGATAATTGTACGTTTGTAATTCGAAAAACGCATAATTATATGCGAAGTTCGTTTTTTTCAACATTTCGAAATTCTGTTCTATCAATAGTGCCTGTTTAGTGAGTACTTTTACGGTACTTTGTATTCATTATTAGATATATCTTTAATTATCGTACTAGTGAGTTATTTTTATTTTTATTTTGTTTACATATTTAACTTATGCGGGCTATTTTTGTCGGGCCCGCAACTTTGTATACTCTATGTCATGTATATGTATAAATTATTTGTTAAATGAACTTCAACAATAAATGTCGGCCAAAATACAAGTATTATTTATCTTGTTTTCTATTCTGAGCCAGAGATGATTTAATTATAACTTCATATAGTAATTTCTTTAATTAGGTTAGCTTAATAAATTTAACCTCAAATAAAGTTCCGTAGCTGGATCCTTAGCGTCTACGTTTTGTATTTAAAGCAGGCGGAATTGGTTTTGTACTAAATTGTTTAAACTGGCCACCAACTGATTGATACTTCGCCGCAGGGGTCAAGTTTACAATTTGTCTTGAATTTATGACAACTCGGGCCACGGCTAATTCGCCCAACTCAAACACTCTCATTAATTATTAACACTTGCATCACTTCATCGAACTCCCACCACTAAAAGAAAAAAGAAATATAACCAGCTCGAAGAAATGTGTTTAATCAATAGATAGTTTTCTTCTTCTCTTAGTAAAATCCTCCTTTTTCTGAGCACCCGTGTCACACAGAAACAGAACTCGCACCGCTCGAAAAAAATACTACAAACTCGCACCGCTGAAAAAATCATCAGAGCGTTCTAGATTGTCTTCTCTAAGTTGTTTTCTGCGTTTGTAAAGCTACAGTATCAAACAGATAAAGAACCTGACTAGCAGCTTTCGAAAAAAAAAAGAAATACTACAAACTAGCACCGCTGAGAAATGTTATAATAATCAGTGTTCTAGATTGTCTTCTCCTTCTCTGAGTTATTTCCTCCATTCTAGGAGCATCTTTGTAAAACCGAGACAATAGCTTCTAATTGGACATTCAAATTCCTATGGAAAAAGAACTGACAAACTAATTAAAATTATCAACATAATGTACCGGTGCATAAAAACGGTTTGAGAAACACGGATCCAAGCTGTGTTATCACCATAAACCATCCAAGTAGTCCTCAACCCTCGGTCGAGCGTTTTTTTCTAGTATATACTCATTTTTAAAGGAAAGCTGTAATGTGTAGTGATTTTGTTTGTCTGTTGGACTTTTTCTATTTAGCCATGGTACTGTTAGTTTATTTTCGACTTATGAGTTTGAATATCCATTTTGTATCTTTTGCCTCTCTTATAAAAGATACATTAACATTATATTTTTTTTATCATTCAATAGCTTTCCTATTATGTACTTTCCATTTCTATGTAGCAACATTCCAGCAGATCATATAAAACATATATATATATATATATGGTTTATTCAAAGTACCAATTCATGGATCAATTAATTCATACTAGCTTCGTAAATAGTTTCACAGTAAAAACTAGATTTGATGAACAGTTTTATTGTTCAGTAAAACATCAAAGCCAGACGCCATGACTTACATCGAAAACCTATGGTAAAGTCGTTTTCAAAATTTTTGTTTTTATTGAGAGTAATTTTTACAAGATTGGCAGGCGAGGGAAAAGGGTTGGAGATGAAAGCAAGTATTTTTATTTTATTAATCTTGAAGGTTTTATACTAATCCGTTAGAGGTGTATTGATTGACATCGTATTCTTGGAGAACATTGTCTATCCATTAGCTGAAATTATTCTTTAAAGTAGCTTTGAATAACTAAGATCGATACTTTGTGTCTTTTGTCATTTATCTTCGGTCTTTTTGTTATTTATTTTTATATAGCTGCCTTGTACCAATCTGTTGAGTCAAGCTTTTTCGGACTTTTTTTAGTACTTGATAAGGTATATTATGTTTTAGTATAAAATACATATGAGTATTCAGTTAACTTGACGAATAACTAGTCTAGAGTGCTTGTTTCCTTTCCTTATATAGATGGTAGATATATATTGCGTATGCAGGCGCTGCTGAAATACTGCTACATATCATGGAAATCTCACAATTCAGTGGACACTGATATCGATAATTTTAAGACGGTAGGCAAATTATGATGCAGCCTCAACTCTATCTGTTGTATATTTTATCTACAAGTTTGATTAGACAGAGTTGAATTATTAAGATACTTCGGAAAACATATGAAATAGGTCCGGTCACCGAAGTGGACCAGCGGGAGATATAAAATCGCTCAAACTACCAGTAATTATATTTACACGGCGATAGAACGCATTTAGAGAAAATCAATAGCATCCATTTAATAGGAAAGGATGAAAAAGCAAAAGCCACACTAGTACAACTCAAAGTATGAACATTAAAGAGTTTTTCGAAAAAGTGAATCTAAATTGAATGCAAGTATATATTTTATTCTATTATTAGGTATCAAGCATAACAATACGGACCGCTAAATAATATGAAAACAGATAAACAACACGCATTATATATAATTGTTATTGAGAGTATTGTTATGGTTCTTGTCTTGTCTGAACTACCATGTTTATGATTCATTGAAAACTATACAATTTGTTAAGTAAAAGTAAACGTATGCAATATGTTTACATTGTCGGAAAATATGATGTTTTTGTACAACCTTTAGGAACAGATTTAAAGCGAGGAACACGAGTAAACATCGTACCAGGCAATGCATTTGTATTGTTATTAATGTGCAATTAACCCCTTGCATGTTATTATTTTTTTTTAAATTCGATTCGATGTCTACGATTTAGAAAAAAAATAGACATAGATAAAAAGCAGACAGCGTAAAACAACCCAAATTTAACTGTAACATAAAAGGTATTATTAGCATTACTCAAAATGGAATATCAACAAGATAACAAGAGCATTACTCAAAATGGAATATCAACAGGATAACAAGAGAGTCTATATTTTACAAGTAAAAAATAAACAAACTTCAATGTGTTATGTTTAATAATATCCAATTTTATTCCGCCAATTAAGGTCTGAAGAACACCTACGAGAGTTTACTCTTTGAAAATCAGCTGAAAGTTGTAATAACATAATATTAATAAAAAAATCGGACTACTCAAAGATCAAAATAAGTATTTGACACTGTTATATTTCCAACGTATTTATTTTTTTTTAGTTTGAATATCTTGAAATGTTTATATTTTTTCAAAATGTCTAAGTAAACATTTTTTCTATATTTTATGAAAATAAATTGAGCTCAATTTATGTAAGTCAATGTTTTAGTTACTCCTTAAGGGCTTATTTGTGGAATTTAAAAATGATTACCTTTTTATTGTTATGTTTAATCCAAAGGAAACGATAGCCAATTATAATACATTAGTCATATTTGTGTTATGCTTTTTTTAAACATGTAAGAATTGGATGTTTTCGAAACACAAAATTAACCATTAAAGGGACACTAGCTGTCAATTTCATGTTCACCGATTTGACTCAAATTCTCATATTAGATTTATAACAATGTAAAACATTTATCCAAATTAGAAAAAGTCTAAAATAAACAATTTACACGACATGGATTGATAATATGTAGCTTCGATTCGTGTGTATTTTAGTCTAGACGCCGTCTAATTAATCATCGAGATGACCCCGAAAACAACCGACGGTCACATAACACGATATAGACATAGACATAAATATAAATAGATATATGGACCTCATGCAAATGAATTTTTCTATGTCTGTTTGATTATAATATTAAGGTTAAAAAATAAGTTAATTTTCGAATGTACCTGTATAAAAATAATTTTTTGTGGACCGAATCAGTCAATCAAATTATTTACCTTTGTTCTACTCTCAATGTTGACATTCTTTTCTTTTTATAGCATACCACGCATCAATCATGCATAATCCATATCTAGCTAAGGGGCTAAATTGAAGTTTACATTAATACGGATTTAATAAAGTCGAATTATTCACTTGCAAGTAAATAATTCATCATCGATGTTTCTTAGATAATTTTGACAAAATTTAACCATAATAGCTGCTTATAGCGAATTATTATTTCACTATTTCACTTTTGTTTATGGTTGAAAAAAAATCATAATTCTTTTTTTTTTATGTATTTCGTAGCTAGTGTCCTTTAAAGACACATCAATTTATAATTATAGAGTGCTAAAAACAACAGCTAGTGTTTATGACAAAATGGGTGTTCTTAAAATCATACAGCATATATATATTTATATATATATATATAATTTAATTGATTTCTCTAGCATTTCATAATTTCATAATATTGCTCAAAGGACCGAAACAAAATCCTTGTAATATTGCACAGCTTATAGAGTAAAAAAAATGACTAATTGAATAATCATACGTTGAAACAACAATTATGATATCAAACAACAAATGCATTAACATAGTAAAAATAGACATATTAGTGTTTAAAAACATTTCAGTAAGAATACAGATGTTGATAATAAACACTACAAAAGTTTGCAAAGACCAATTTTTGTCTTAATTTGCATGAACAATTACTCGACATTCTCCAATAGTATAACTTGTGTCTTATTTTTTCTTGACAAAATCTGATTTATATTAAATTTGTATGAAATTTACTCGACAAATTCTCGACATTCTGAATATGGTCTCAAAATTTCTTAACAAATTCTTGACATTTGGATACTGTCTTAATATTTCGCGACAGATTCTCGACATTCTTATTTTTTTCTCAGCATGGCTTGACATAATCTGAAAATTTTGTATTGTGTCTTAATTTTACTTGACAGTTCTGACTATTACAAATCATGACCAATATACATGATATAACTTTATCTTTATTTCTCTTTGTATAATACGTGTATACTGTTGTTTCAAGTTCACTTATCACTACAAAAGCAAAAGTTGGGCATGTAAATATTTGTATAATTAAAAATGTGGATATATATGTATATATTTATAAATACAAATATAGGTATGAAATTTAAAGTATTAACAAACACAAATGTGGGTATGTTGATACAAACCAATTTAAAGGTGAGTTTGTCAATAATTACAAATGTTGAGTCATAAATCTTATAAATAATTGCTAAATGATTGAAACCAATCATATTGTAGACATATTTCATTCTACATGCATAATTTTATAAGTTAAAATGGCAAATAAACAATTATTGTACCAAAATTCGGCTTTTTATAATTAACAAAGTATTATTGTCTCATAATTCTTCTAAGATTAGTTTAGCGATAATATAGACGAGTATATAACAGCAAAAGAAAGTGTTTAAACAGAGCGGAATGTTGTCTATACACAATTCAGGCAAAATTTATACTGTTGAGATAGAGTCAAGACATCTTTAAGACATCAAGAATATGTCGAGATATATATAGACAATTTTAAGACTGTCAAGAATGTGTCAAGACATATTCAGACACTATAAGGATTGTCAAAAATATGTCAAGACATATTCAGACATTATTGAAAATGTCAAGAATATGTCAAGACATATTCAGACATTATTAAGAATGTCAAGAATATGTCAAGACATATTCAGACATTATTAAGAATGTCAAGAATATGTCAAGACTGATCGAGACAAATTTAGGACAGTCAAGAATTGGTCGAGACTAAACAAGACTCTTATCAAATGATACAGAAAGTGTCGAGAAAATTTTAGACAATGGTAATACTGTCAAGACATTTGTCAGTAAAAAATCAAGAACAATATTAGACAAATTCATACTTTGTTCAGCATTTTTTTTTAAATAATTCAGACAAAGAAAGAATGTCGAGTTAAAATTCATGCAAATTCAGACAAAAATTGCTCTTTTCAGACTTTTTGACTTTTGTAGTGAAACATGATGATGCATCCGAATTTACACATATCAGTTCTATCAATTTGAAAGCAGTGTTAACGTAATACATTGATTCTTTGTAAGTTAGCACGTGACATATACTGTTACCCATATATATGTATCACAAAGGTAAACGGTGGGATGTCATAGCTGCATTATCACTGAGAAGTTATTTTGCGCCTAACCAGAAATGTTGTATATTGCATCAAACAAAAATGTTAATTTATAACAAGCACTGGAATCTCCATTTTGTACAATTGATTGTGCAATGCTTTTTGAATACTGTGTCAAACATGTATTAGGTAAAACAAATTACGAAAGAATTTTACTGCATGTATTCGTTTTGAGGAAAAAATTGTCTGCGGCTGTCTGTCACCGATCATTGTATTTTTTTTTCTTCAATTTACCTTCAGTTAGAAAACATCCTACCATCTTTATAGCTTCAATAACATTTAATAGAATACTGGTTAAAATTGTATCTTTATTCTAAAGTGTGCTGCTGAGTTGGTGGAAAATGGAAATATAAAAAGTTTTGGTTTGACCTGAGGCAGGTAAAATCAAACCTATATATCTAAAAAAAACGGCATTGGCTAGAAGGCAAATTTATTTGTTAGTTTCGTTAATTTTTGTAAGAATAATTATAAACACAAGAACAAACTGATTTTAAAATAAATGATAAAGGGAGAACTTACTTTAGTTATTGAAAATAAAACAACAACTTGGTATAAAAACAACGTTAATGAATAGTCCGATATTAACATCTTAATTAATTTGATTCCGAATAGATTTTAAAACAGAAGTATTACCTTTGTCATTATAGCAAAGTTATAAGTTTAATCACGTTAATGACCATTAAAACAAATTAACAATCAAATGATCAAAGAGAAATATGTGGCTCAAATAAATTTGATTTATGATGTTTTTTTTATTTGAAATAACTTTAAAATATAGAAGCATTTCCAAGTTTGATTAGTCTCAAAGGAGGTCAAGTAAACGTGGACGTTTTTTCTGAGGATCGTTTAAGTGTTAAATTAAATACAAAATTATACTTTTAAACATTATCAATCACAGAACAAAGCATATCTTACCAATGTATTAGCTCCAGATCCTTAAATATAGGAAATTACAGAAATATGTTGACATTAATTGGATTATTATGAGCTCGTCTCATAAAAATAAAACCAAACTGTAATAAAATAAAATAGGACTATTGTCTGACAGAGATGTCTGCGTACAATAAGCAACTGAAATTAATTCTACAATATAAGCGGTACTGTACACATAAGATATATTCATCATTTGAAGATTTCAGTAGATATGTCAATTACAAGCTATGAACATAGAATATCGTCATTTGTGTCTTCAACTGAAAAGTTGTAATTGCAATCACTTAGATATAAAATAATTCAATATTCAACCTCGTGAGATAAAATAGAGGTGTAATGATGATGGAATCAAAAGACTTAAAACAAATCCAGTAAGGCATTTTCCACAATTTTAACATTTTTGCCTATGTTACTAAATGACTGAGCAATCGTCCTCAAGGTTGGTTTTAGACTGTGCATCCGACAAAACTTATTGCTCCATTCTTCTAAAATATCTTTGTTCAGTCGTACCAAATCCCGTTCATTTTGCTTGTGGCTTATCCGCTCCCAAGTATGGAAATCCATGCCAAGTTCGATCAGGAATGGGAGAGATTTGTTTCCAACCAATGGAACCAATCTGTCAATGTGTTCCTCTGTAGGTACTACATCCCACTTCTCTGGCTCCCTGTCTGTTATTTAAAAGGATAAAGAACTATTGTTTTTGTGAAAATTTCAGAATTTTATTATCATTGAAGATTTTTGACACGGTTTATATGTTTAACCAGATATAAAAAAGATATATACTAGCATAAACACCTTATTTTTTTTATCATGTACGCACATCTAACACATCTTTGTATATCCCAGCATATCAATTTATTAGATAAAAATTTTCTTTTTATTATTCTGTTTTTTGTCATTGTTTCATCTGTGTCTTCTTGACCAGTGAGGTTTGAATCTCCTTTTGGTATTTTTTTTTGTTTCTTTTTGACACACAAGTCTATGGTATACTCATGATATATATTCAAATTAATGAAATTTATAATTGTATAAATTTACTGCTCATAAGGTAAACATTGGGATACACAAGTAATTAAGAGAAGTTTATAAAATTTGATATACTTATCTTTAGCAAGTTTGTTTGTTTCTTTATTCAAGGTGCGTAACATTGTATTTTCAAACTGAAAATAAGACCAGGATATCTAGAGGCTTTCAACAAAGAAAGCTATTTAAGACAGAAATAGTCACATTTAACACAAAGTAAAACTCGTATTCGTGCTAAGCACATCATGGATAAATAATAAAAGTTGCAAAAAACATTGTGACAGACATTAACAGGTGTTACACTTTATAAGTCTTTTTTTTTGAAGATGAAAGCCCGATATGAAGAACTTGAAAATAAAATAGGGCGAAAAATGCCAAAGGGACATTCAAACTCGTTAATCGAAAATAAACTGACAACGCTGTGGCTTAAAAAGCAAAAGACAAACACACAAACAAAAGTACACAAAACACAACATAGAAAAATAAAAACTAAGCAACACGAACCCCATTAAAACTGGGGGTGATCTCATGTGATCCGGGAGGAGAAGAAATCCTTTTTCACATGTGGCACCCGTTGAATTGATCATGTTAGCAAAAACCCTGTAATAAGTCTAATTCGGTCGATCACATTCTTGAAATGGGAACGAGATTGTAGTTACGACATAAGGAACAATAACCGATATCAACTGTGAAACGGATATTCATTAACGGTCAACAAACTCCTGCTGACGTCCGTAAAATTTACGAAAGGATGATTTCAACTTCACCATTTGGAACTCTTGGTTTAATAGCTTCCATGTGAGCAGCAACCCTCTATCAAGGAAATCATGATATGAAATACAAGACCGGGAATATCGTATCAATTGGGAGATATATACTCCGTATGCAGGCGCTGCTGGAATGGTACTACATAGAAATGGAAAGTTCACGATTGGAAAGCTGAAATCATCTTTTTTGTCGTAAAGATTTGTTTTAAACCGACCCTCATTATCAATTTCTATATGTAAGTCAATATAAGAGTCCACCTTAACTGTATCTGTTGTATCCGTTATCTCTAATTCGATGTGATAGATGTATTCAACATAGTCACCAAATTTTGAATTATTTAGTGAGAGAAAAGCATCTATATAGCGGAAAGCAAAGTAAATGATACTGCTAACTTCTTGTGTTACTTATTAGTAAGCAGAGGGGCACAGTTAGTTCCTATGGGAATGCCGACATTTTGTTGAAAAAGACGTCCTCCAAACATAACAAATATGTTGTCAATAAAGAAATCAAGCATCTTCATGTTCATAATGTCAGTTTCAGATAAATGTTTTGATAGAATCAGAGTGATATTTTACAAAGTAGGATTTATCCCTCCCTAAGACAAGATACTTGTATCTACGTTGGCCGTTCGTAATTTTTTATTAAACAAAACAATACCAACACTTTCAATTTTGCTTTTAGTTTGAAATCGGGAATACTTGTGTTAAGTGTAGAAAGGTCAAATGTTTTAATACTATTGCAAGATGAAAGCGTCTTAGAATGTATGTACTCTACGAAATCTTTGAATTTATTAGTATCCACATCTGATTTATGCCACCTCTAGAATAGACAGATTAATAATAACTTTGAAGCCCGACTTTGATTGCTGATACAATTGTGAAACAGGTTTCGTGGAGCACTTGGAAGACCCAGCAATATACCCTTGTTTGTAGGGACACTTATGTAGTTTAGGTATCCAATACAGTGATGGGAGATCCAGTTTTTATATTTGGTTGAAATTCTAAAAAGAATAAGAACAGACCTATGATTATCCAGGATTTCCTCTTTAGTAAGTGTCGTTGGGGTATATGTTGAGGTTCCAAGTGAATTGTCAATACCTAATTCATTTATCAAGCAGTTTATGTAATGTGATTTACACACAAACACGATGTTATTTTGAGTTTTATCTGCGGAGACAACAGCTTATTTGTCATGGAGGTAGAACAAATGCTTTACAATTTGGGTCTTTAAAGATTGACGAAACATGGGTATTAATAGACGCATTCAGTTTCTTAATTCTGATTTGTCTCACAGCTTTAATCCGTTCGGAAAGAGTATCTACGTCTTCTTTCTCGCGTTAAAAAGTAAAATTACAAAATTCTGAACGCCGGGGAAAAGTCCCTAATCAAATTGCAAATTCAAAAGCTCAAACACATCAAATCCCATTGCCTGGCATAATTATCGACTAAATCCATCAGAATCTTGAAGTTGTGTTTTCAATTGATGGATTAAGGCTCATGATATTGCGGATCTTTAGATAACACATTTCTCAACGAATTGTTACTGATAATGTTGAGGTCACTGGTAATAACATGACCAGCCGTTGACGGTATCGATAACTTTATTGGCAAAGGAAAGCTTAAGAAAAGATCTTTTCTCTTTTCTCTTTTCCATCTTTTTGAATGCGAACTGGCTTGGAAAGTCTGTGTCTTGCAATATATTCGAAATGATAGCTGTAAGTTTGTATAGGTTTGAATAAGGGTTTGTAACAGTGGTTTCCAAACATAAAAAGAACAGAGAATGAAGTTTGAAAGGGGGAATAAATATAGCTTCGTGCGTATGTGATGAATAATTCACGGCTTTTGCATCAATGTCAGTAATTAAGTCATAAATAGAGACATCATGGAGGGTTTGTGATGTATAATGACGATGACCATGCCTGCGTCTACGTCGAGGTTTAGAGTTGAAAATATTCATCACATTCTCCGTGCTACACACAGAAATTGATAGAATATCAATACCATCAATTTTGTCATTGCAACCATATGGTGTCGTAGTTCCCAACTGTCAAATCCAGTAGTCTCCTTTTTTTCTACGGAGAGGCATTGCAAGATGAGGTTTTTAGTCTTGTGGTATAACTTTTTGATGATTCGAACTTCCATAGAAAGAATTGAATGAACAGGCTGGTTAAAATGCTAGTATTGAATTTCGCTTTCATAGTGATGATGTCTGATCTATGGCCGCATATACGTTTATTTAGCCTTCCTTTCAGTTCACCGACGTATTCATGAACCATTTCGCAAAGATTACACTCTAATCTGTCGATTAGACGACATTGTAGCTTAATAATTCCGATCATCGTACCTTCTGGTAAAATAGGACTTTTAGGTACAGTGCTAGTAAACTGAGCATCTGTTATGAAAATTCCACAGGTTTTGCAGCCATTGGCATCACATTGTGAAATGAGACAGTGTTGGTCAGTGTCATAAAAATCCAAAATATCGTTTAGAAGAAATGAACATGGCTATGTATTTAGATTATTGCTATTGTCACTAGTATGAAAGATCTGAATGTGTCATTTTGGAAAATTTTCATGCCTGGTGATGAGGGGACATCTGCCATATCAGACGACACCGTGTCCATAGTGACTATTGTTTCGGACCTTTTTATACTGGGCGAAGTCCAAGCCAGTATTATGTTTGATCTTCGTAAATTTATGCAATATTATTACTGGGCGGATGATGTCCACTAGGACAAAATGTCCACCAGCAGAGACAGCGACCCACTGGTTATAAAAGAGTGGCGAAAGATACCAGATGGACATTCAAACTCATTAATCGAAAATAAACTGACAACGCTATGGCTATAAAAGAAAAAAACACACAAACAAACAAGCAATAATACACAAAACACAACATAGAAAAAAAAGATTAAGCAATACGAACCCCACTAAAACTGGGAGTGATGTCAGATGCTCTAAAAGGGTAAGCAGATCCTGCTTCAAATGTAGAAATCGATCGAAGGAACAGATAAGGTGATTGCATTCTAAGAGTTAATGTACAAAAGAAGGAAGTATAAGACTATTAACAGTCAACAACACAAGCCATTAAAATAGTAGACTGAGGACACAAAACCACTTCAGACACCACATGTGTGAACTGAGATGATACCGTTAACTATGCGTAGGAACTGTTCCACTGGTCCTGTCGTGTTATCTTTTGGAAGGAACAAACCGATAATAGGTCACATTTGATGATGTGACAATCACGAGACTCTTAATAGGATTGTCTCAAGTACACAATATTTGTGGTCAACCAAAATCATGATAATTAATAAAAAAAAAAACTTCTTCACCTTATATTTTGATACAAAGAACTTACCAAAATCAATAAAATCACCTTTCACAAGCTGTAAAAGATGAAAATACAAGTATTTAAATCAAAAGACAGTACCTTTGATGCATAAAAATTAACATTTTTCATAAATGCAACGAATTTATAAAAAAATAAATGGCATTTTAACTTGATTTGATAACTGTCAAATAATACAATTATAGATAATAAACACGAGCATAAATTATGATACGAAGTAAAATGACAAAAATACTGAACTCCGAGGAAAATTGTGTATGAAGGAACTCCGATTCATATAGAAATAAAAAAAAAAACGTTGCCAAGTAAAGGCGCACAGTTCGTTCCCATAGTAATGGCGGCACTTTGTTGAAAAAGTCTACCTCCTAATTCAACAAATATGTTGCCTCCTAATTCAACAAATATGTTGCCAATAAGAAACTCCAACATACTGATAACTTTTTCCTCTATGAAGCATGTTTTAACTTTTTGTTCACTTTTAACAAAATATGCTGTATGGTATCCCAAAGTAATACATGTTTAGCGTATGCTACAATTTTTATGTTGAAAAGCATTGTGGATTATTTCTGTTAGACGATTTTTCAATTTCACACCGGGAATGGTGGTATACATGTACAGGTTTAAAAAATAAAAGGTTTTGATAGAACGTATTTGAGAAAAAAATCGAGATCTAAAATTATCAAGATATTCTTTAGGGTTTTTTAGAATCCACATATGGTTAATACCACTCGCGAGTGAACAGTTTCATATTATTTTAAAGACCCTCTTTCGCAACTGCAACTTCAACATATCATGCATACATGTATCTTGATCTTAAATTGTTTGAGTTGTTGTATGTTACCGTGATTTATCTGTTCTCAATCTATATAATAGTTATAAACATTGGTAAACTACTGCATGATACAACGTCAATGTTGAACAGTTTACTACTTTTTATTTTGTTATAATTTTATCATTTATAACAGTGATATGATCGAATGATCTTTAATAAAAATTTGTGCATGCTCAAATCTAAACATCAAGGGAAGTGTGATTTCGTTGTCGGTATAAATCCGTATTGGATAACTGAATGGTTTTTTTCTAGATTAAGAACAGATATAACAGCGCTGTTACTTTGTTTTGAGCTTATAAGGGTACAACTTTCTCCTTCTGGTATTTTGTCTTTACAAAAAATAATGTTTGATTTTGAATACATTGTACTTTTGTCTTTAAACATCATTGAATATCAAAGTTGATGTGGATAGGTGTTATTCATCATTGGGGTTGAACGTCCATGTGTCAACCTTTCATTGTTATGGGAAGATCATAATAATATGTAATGCTTGACCTGATTTAAGGATAACATTTATTGCATGTATTTTTCCGGCATTTTTTGCCATTAAGCACGAAGTTTGGCTAGCCACAAAACCAGGTTCAACCGACCATTTATGTCCTGTACCAAGTCAGGAAAATGGTAGCTGTTATCTAATAGTTCGTTTCTATGTATGTTGCATTGGTGTTGGTTTTGTTGCACTTCAGTGTTTCTTTTCTTACGTTGCTCACCTCTTATAGTTGATGTGTTTCCCTCAATTTTAGTTTGTAACTCGGATTGTTTTCTTTCAATTGATTTATGACTTTCGAACAGCGGTATGCTACTGCTGCCTTTATTTATCATAATCGACACAGAAACTACAGATGTAACTGAATTGAAAGAACAAGTTTCTATTAATGTTTCATGAAAAAAATATGTACCGTGCAAAGTTTATGGATGTTTCCCTTTTCAGCGGCTACTATTGCATTTTTGATTTTTTTAAATGTCACCGCATGGCTATCCCGGCATTGTCGAATAACTTCACAATTCCACACCGTTGGATCCCCTGTATTTACTGTGTTATCTACGTATGTAGCTGACAATCCTAAATGTATTGCCAGTTCTCTGACTTCATTACTGCTGTACATTAATGACAACCGACGTAGATGTAGATCTGATGGTAACTCTTTCAAAAACTCTTCATTTGTAACTGTTATTGAAAGATTGTACATGTATGTATGTAAAGCAAACATAATATACAATTAGCAAAAGTTCCATATATAAACAAATATATCTTTGGGCGCTAGATGTGCTAAATATCTGTTTGCTAGGATATAGTAAAGCCTTAAGATAATAGGTTCCACAGTGAGAGTGATATTCCTTCGTGAAATACATCATGATGCTTTTAATCATGTAAAACTTTACCTATAGGTGTTTACTAACATGTTTCAATCATTTGACAGTTATCGCACAAAATTGAAGTTTTACTTTTTAACTTTCAATCTTTAATTGGTTTAAGGCAGAAACATTCAGTTCCTCCTTTTATTACATTGAAATATCAGAAAACGGCTTTTGTTCGTCCATTGTTCGTATTCAATGGACAAGCGCTTTTGCGTTCACAGCTTGGTAGTTATTGAATTTAAGAATTCATATGTACTTTTTTTATCAAACGTTCCCGTATTCCTTAGGGAATATACCATGTCCTTTATAAGACGGGAAAGGCGGTATTTGGGTGTTCTAATATTTTATCACGATTCTCACTAGTCGAAGATAAACATTGCAGTGCCAAATAAAAAAAAAGAGAAAACTATATTTTTGAATAGCTCGTTCAACACTTTTTTGTAAAGTAATACCTTTCCCCAGTAAACATGTCAATTAAGAAAGCCTTGGTATCTTAACTTTATACCGTTAATTTGTGACTTGTATTGTTAAAACGCCGTATGAATTTATTTGTTTCTTGTTTCTTGTGCAATATTAATAATGTGTAACAACATTTTTCTTGTAGCTGGACGCAGATTTCAAACGTTTGGTGTAACGGACAACATAGGGATATTTGTTTTCTATTTATTTTATCAACTTATCAAATTACATATCAATCATTAGACAATAAATGCACAATATGCAAGCATCTTTCGCGGCCCTGACACTACGAGAAAGTGAAGATGTAGTAATTAGACTTCCAAAAACTGTAAACCTGTTCTTTCAATAACAGTTAAGGAAAACGTTACAAGCCACTTGAATATACATTGAATATACACATAGACCATGTCAATTAGATGGCACAGTCCTCAAGATTGTTGGCAGAAGCCCAAGGCATAATTCTAATATCACTGTAATACAATTGAATACCTCTTTATGCGCAAAACATTGAAAATGTGCCCAGCCCATGTTAAATAAAAGGTAACGCAGGTATAACTTTTCTTCAACCTTATTTATTAATCGGCATGTTGATCACTGAACAGGTCTAAACTTGGATAACCTCTCGTGAAAAAAATCCAACTGTTCACTAAATAAGTATACCCGAGAAAATGACTGCTTTTATCACTTTATTAGGCCACTAATCTAAATATCTCGTGTTACGATAGTCGGTAAGATGAATTCGTTACACAGTGTGCTAGTGACCTGATACGATATCGCACCCATTATTGATTTTACTGACTCCATATATATATATATATATATATAGATTCTACCACTGATACGATATTTATCCACTCGAGACAGTTAAATTTTTAAATATTTAAAATATAACTGTTGAGAGTGGATAAATATCGTATTACACGAGATTTGGTGGGCGAATCTGTTGCTCTAATGATTTTCGAACAATATGCAGGCAAAGTTATTCCTTCTTTTCATATGATCTGCAAAAAGATGTGTTCTTTCTATGTGACTTCATCAGGCATGGTCGCCTTTTTTCATGCCTTCACAATAAGAAATTCAGAGGAAAGCAAAAAAAAAAACTCGATGTCACAATCAGATTGTAATCAATTAAGAACTGAGATCAAACGAACCACACGTTGATTAATTTTTTTATAGAATGGGTGCAAAAAGGGATAAATTGACGAAGAATTAGAAAAATTGTATTAGGTCACTTTCACACAATGGAACTAATATTATTGCTATTTTACAAAATTTTCCTTTGATCTTACTGACTGATTATTTTCTTTCTTAGCACAGTAGAATTATATGAACAATTATCGCTAGAAAATAAGGGCGCAAGTGCCGTAGTTAATATAAACACCAACTTCGTCATCAGCAAAATAGCGATAAACAGATTATAATTGGTCATCTTCACTCGATTGTTTTTGTCAATTTCGCCGTACAGGCTCCAGCGAGAAAATCTATCTCTTTAAGATAACCAACAATAATCTCTATATATTTGAGATCAAGCTGCTATGCTATATCTTCCTATACACCTGGAATACATTTATTTTGCATCCAACGATTCTTTGCCGAATTATATTGTTCTATCTCAACACTTCCCATTTCATTGTAATGACGAAGCGAAGATAAGCATAATGTTATAGTGTTGTATCTGAACTTTAGTTCTGATATTTGTTTTTTCTTTCAAACATATTTTTTTTAGAATGTAAGTAATACTATTCTTCAATTTGAACTTAGTTTTGCTTTGTTCTTAGATAAGCATGCTTTGCAAAACTGGCGAATATATTATAATTCCAAAGTCTGTCGTCGAACTACAATTGAGACGTAGAATATAATTTCTAACACATATATATTTGTTATTGTTTTTCTTCATAACAAGGTCACCGTGTATCATCGGTACAGCGGATATAGCTTTATAGGTACTTCGAAGCGTGAAAAGCTATATACCGTACATTCATTTAAATATGCACCGTACAGAAAGATTTATGTGGTCAGCTATACACCGTACACAACGCTTCTTTTCGGAATGAAATATCGAAAAATAACATATGTATGAAAGATTTCAATGCCAACTATTGAAACAGCTATACTTATTACGCACACAGAGTGGTCTTCTTTCAGAAAAAGAGTTGCAATGAATATAGAATCATATCGGATGAGACTTCTTTGACAAGTTTTTGCACATGTTGTTTGTAAGCGTTCTTGTTTTGGGAAAATAATGAGACTTCTCTAATCACCAACCTACGACCAAATCATTTCTTAAAACAACAATTATGTTTAGATTGAAGTACACATTGATAATATGTAAACAAAACAAAGATTTCCATACCGTATTGGAAGAAAAATCGATCACGACCGCTTGGTTAGTACCTATATCCCGTGCTATATCCGATGTACCGATGATACACGGTGAAGGTGGTTGCTTTGTTCATATAAGGTTTTGTTTAATCAAGATAAAAGTGCACATCGATTTGCTGTCAAAGCAAATCAATTTGATTCGTATACATATCTTAAAATTTTTGAAGAAAGAAATAAGGAACTGGCGCTTTGAATTATATTCAATTATTTAACATTTAAAAAAACAAATGATTTACAACTTTACAAATCTCAAACAACGACCGAAAAATTAGATGAAAAATAGACATGATAAAAAGAGTAAAACAGTATACTGTCAAATTGTAATACAATACCTGGGCACCCCGATTCACATCCGTATTCCTCCTGCTACAAGTAAAAAAAAAACATCAGTATTTCTGCATCGCGTACAGGAATCAAACAAATCTTTAATCTATTATTTGTATATCACAGAAAAGATATATATATATAACAGGATACCACTTACAGACACAGAAAGAATAAATACATACCTGCAGGAATATATACATAACTATATATTTTCGAATCATTAAAGAAAGTAAACATAATTTTAGGTTTGAAATTATGATTTATTGTATTACCTTTGCATTATTTTAGTACTTGACTAATTATTTTTTTACCATCGTTATGTTATAGTTTCACATTGCTTTGTCTTAGATGTTAATCAGATTTAATTTTTGGTTTCGATTTCTTCTGCTATTTAGGTAGAATTCTTACTTTTCGAGGTATCCACGACTTGATCGTGTGTATGTTGTGTTCAATGCCATGAGTAGGACATTTCCATGTTTTGCCTACATTTGGAAGACTTTCGAATGGTAAGATGCATGGCTTATCTGGTGAGTTACAACATATCCTGGTCACAAAGGAAGCATCACTGTTGTGACTCTGATCGCTGCTGGTTCTAATATACAGCTGACTTATTTTCTCCAAGGCAGATGTTAAACATTCATTGATGCTGGAAGCAAGATCCCTCATTATGAGTGCGTTTGTTCTGGCATGAACAAGACGGACGATTATCTTGTCATCTTCGCAAAGAATATACATATCCAAGGAAGGATCAATTGTGAACACTCCTGATCTGTGGAACAGCATGTCCGTGTTGGCTTCTCCATATGTCTTAACCGCCCAGACAGATAAGCAGTAACTTATAAATCTGAAAGATAATGCTGGAGGTATCATCATTGATGTCGATATAAAGGCTATGGCAATATTTCGTTGTGTGATGCCAGATGAATAAAGGTATCCGGTATCATCATTAGCTCGTACCATACTTGCAACATAGTAGAAGTCGGCAAGTACACGCATTCGCTTAGAATCGTATCTCTTTGGTTCGACCAATATATCTAGATGGTTCATGACATCTAATAAGTATTCTTTGTCTTTGTAGAATTTCGCATATTTCTTTCTCTTCCAAACTTTTTGTATTGCTTGTTTTGATACCACCCCTTTCTTTCCCATTGCGTCCCATATTTCTTCTCTTTTTCTGTCTCCTTTACAAAAGCGCTTTTCTGTAACAATTGATTTAAAGGCATCGATGAGGAGGGTTGGAGACAAAATAATACGGTCGTCCAATTTAAGTTCATCGAAGTACAGCAACTTTCCAATTGAATGTTGAAATTTCAGAAATACCTTCAACTCATCTTCTGACAACGGTCTAATAGGCTGTAAGGAGTTAATTTTCCTTAGATGCTCTAGGGTTATCAAATGAATGTTGCGTCTGATCAGCGATGCAAATTCTAACTCTAAAGGGATAAAGCACTTTGGAAGGAGTTCACCCCATGTCGGTTGCCACTCTGATTCGCTCATGATAAGCTTCTTTAACTTCCTCATTTCTGGGTCATTTTCGTCAAGAGCGTTGACAAATATTTTATTCTTAATTATCAAATGTCGTCCTAATGACGTTTTGTTGAACATCTTTCTAATTTCTGCAAATGTTTCATTTCGTCTTTCTTCAACCTCATCCTAAAAACAAAGCAATAGAATATTTTGACGCCTGTCTTAATATTTGACAACAATTTACTGTTCATAAAATTAATAATAATCAGATGTATTGCATAGTTACAATAACACAACTACATGAAAAGGGATGGTTCGAATATATAATAAATACCCCACAAACGTTATGTTATTTTTAAGCATTAAAACTACAGTCAAACTTGCTTAAGAGACCACCTGTATTTAGCAGAAACCTGTGTTAAAAGACCTCCAATTTAAGATCCGTCTGTGGTACATTTCATATAAATTGAACCTGTATTAAAAGACCACCTGTCTTAAGAGACCACTTGTTTGCCCTCCCTTAAGTGGTATCTTAAAACAGGTTTGACTGTATATAAAAATTACTACACAAATGAAGATTTAATTTTGATGACCAACCCCAATTAAAGTACAGATATAAAAAAGCAGTAACACAAAATACAGTAAAAACAAAATATATGATTTATTATTATTGGAAGTGTTTATCTGTTGTTATTTTTTTTTATAACTAACTATTCTTGTGACGAAGCATACAGGGTGTGCCTCATATAGACGAAGCTCAAGTCTAGCGTTTTTATTTATTCAAGCCTGGCCATATTGGTTAAGGTTTTGTAAAGCTTGTATACATACCACATTACATAATTATTAAATATACGAAACATCATATACTAGGAAAGAAAAGGAAATTCAGATACTAAAACACATGTTGTTATTATATTTAAAAAAATAAAAAAAAAACGAAAACCGTTTATGTTCTTCTACATTCTGCTGTTCATCATGTGTAGAAATACACAATATTATGTATACACTAGTAAACCAAATATGAACTGAAACGTATTGCTATAATTACTCGTTAGAGACTTTACAAGCAATTATTTATTAAAAATATCATATTTTCTTAATTTTTGTTAAATATGTAATTAAAGTAAAGCCACTAACGTAAAACTATTCCATAAACAATATTCAGAATAATAATGGTTACATTCACAAAAATACGTTTTCCCCTTTTATTAGACATCATTTATATCTTTACGTAACAACAATTTTAATCAAAGTCAAATATTGCTTTATTCAAATTGCCAAAACGTTTACTGTTGCACTACATACTTACATCTTTTACTTGATCTTTGTGAGTTAAAACCACCATAATTTTAGGAAATCCCCGATGACTTCCCTGGCAGTATGTAACGATTGTGTTGATCCAGAAGATCAGATAATCTGTAAAAATATACAAAATGAATACGAAAAATACATTGTTTGACACTTACGTTTGAAAGTGTACAATCCCTAAGGACCCTACATTTGAACGAACTTCTTTTTCTTGGTTTCCTATTCTTTCAGTACTTGTTTAAAGTAAGAAGATGTTTTAAATTACAAGTTTTATTTCAACATATATGAAATACGTGTTCGAAATTCTGTATTTAGATCTACTCAAAAAAATATTTTGCTAAAAACAAATGTACGTATATACCCCTTGCTGTTTTATGTTCACTCTTTCCCGGTAGATACTGTTCATACGGACATGGATCATCGAGTTTTCTACTTCCATCCAATACAATCATGTAAATAGCTCTGTATGTTAGAAATGTCTGATGAGTTGAATAGAAAACATCCTGTCCTCCGAAATCCCAGATGATTATTGGTGCTATCTGTTTGTTGTGCAACTGCTTTATTCCAGCTATAAAAGACTTTTCTAGGAATGTTTCTTTTGTGATTGATACTTTGACTTGCTTGACTTTTTTGGAAATTCCAAAAAAGTTTTTAAGCTTTCTGATAATTCCTGGTTTAATAACAGATTCTGTATGCATCTCACTGGTGAAGCCTGACTCCATACGCGAACCATCTGAGTCATCATTCGCTTTTTCATTATCAGGTAAAACTTCAATTATGTCTCCGGCATCCGACGATTCAGTATTTGCATTCTCAGGTAAAACACATTGTAGTACTTCTTTGTTCCTTTTCACAAAGCCGTCTGAACTTTGTATGTCAGTTTTCAATGATCCTTGTTGCATTTCTGAAGTAGGAAGTTTGTATTGTATGTCTGTTTTATAATCGTCATCGTCAATGTCTTTGTACTGTTCTTTCGTTGTCTGTTCAAATACACGGCCTGTTAATTGTTTGCTGGTATTCTTATATATATTACCAACATCAACTGGTATGGTTTTAAATTGATGATCAGACAGAGTTGTGACATTTTCTGATTGTGTTGTATCGGAAATTATTTTTTCAATTGATTCGTTGACCTTGAACATGTTGAATGACATTTCTTGTGTCATGGCTAGTACACCTTGACTGGTTGGGTTTCCCTCATTTAACCCAACACTCTTCTTTATTTTGTCGTCTTGAAAATGGGATCTGTTAGAGGTTCTTCTTTCCAGACAGGATTCTAAAATTAGTCAAAAGTCACATATTTGTCAACCATTGACGCAAAAAAAATAATTATTAATTATTAACGTATATAAAAAAGAAGATGTGGTAGCATTGCCAATGAAACAACTCTCCACAAGAGACTAAATGACACATAAATAAACAACTATTATTACCGTAAGGCCTTCAATAATGAGCAAAGTCCCTACCGCTTAGTCAGCTTTTAAAGGATCCGAAATGACAAATGTAAAACAAGTCAAACGAAATAATTTACTTGTCATCGTATTATGTAGAATTTCTGATCTAGTTTAGATTGAGCTGTTTAAAGTCGTATGTCAATGAATCATGATGTTTCATAACGAAGATGCATCATGATATAAAATGGAAATATTTGCATAATGTGTCTTCAAAGATAAAATCTACAACTATCGTTGGATAACACATTGCCTGCATGGAATAAACACAAAAAGAATACTGTGGATAATACTGGTGAACTATGAATTTAAATGTTAAAAAACTACAAATTTCTATCAGGTTGTACGGCTGAACCACGGAATCGCATATCTACGAAAGGGTAAGTTTTATGCAGTTCAGGAAAATTGGTTAACCCGAAAATAAATGAATCTACAGTACTGTGTGTAAAAGAAATGTTTGATGTGCTTGTGTTTATGAAGTTCAACATGAATAAAGACCATCCTATGATATGTAGGTGTACAATATAATGCACGAGATCAATTGCATGGATTGTTAGCTTTAAAATAATGATAATTTGTTCAAATTCCAGGGGTTTTATGTTCTAAAATAATAATGATACAAAAGCAAAATGTCATACGTACTGAAGACCTCATCAACATATATGTATATCTAGTGAGATATCATTAGGCATACAACTAAGCTGTCAATGTTTATAATGTATACAAAAGTGACTGTACGACGATTATTAGAGATCGAGAAAGTGTTTGGGTGCTTATGTATTACTGTAACATGTAACTATACTATAAAAAAACTCAATGTAATTTAATTTAGACACAACAATAATGGTTTGAATGGACAAAGAAAAAATAGTTTTACACAAATACGCTCACATACAACACAGAATTTTCGCGTTTTGTTTTCGATCTGTACATTTAAAACTGTACAGGTACGTTAAACTGTTAAGATCAGTTGGTTGTAATTTCTTAATGTAGATTTTTGAAATTTGAAAGAAGGCATCGTGTTAAAACCCATTAGCGATTGTTCAGACAAGAAAATGTCAATAAATATAAACATGTGATTAGCAATATCCGTGCTAGGTTCTTGATTACCCCGGAATATGTCACCGTCAACGGTTCAACTGAGCAAATTTAAGCAAGTGATAGATTAAAGTCGATATTACTTATCTTATTAAACGTTGCAAAGAAACAAGGATGCCAATTTTCAAGAGTCCCTGAGTTAGGAATATTTGATGAAGTAAATTGTTTGGCTGTAAGTGAGGGGGGAGCTCAACCCAACAAACCAAATGAGAAAAAACTACATTGACAAGTCTATGTACAGTCTTTAAGAATACGAAAGCGTTGATGAGATAACAAACCATCGAATTCTGACTCTTCCGATATTGTTTCCGACTTTGATGTTTCATTTGATGCTAGTCTAAGAATCCCTCCCCTTGCCGGCAATGATACATTTTGTGTTGCACCTAGTACATCTTGGGTTGTTGCTGTTGTTTCATATAAATTAACACTCTTCTTTAGATTTTCTTCATTAAAAAGGGATCTGCTAACGATTATTTCTTCCAGGGAGAAATCTGAAATTAGAAATTGTAATACAAATATATAACATTATAATCTTTGGCCGACGCTAAATTTTCGCATATTTGTCAACAAGTGTAGCAAAGAAGCATCTCTCTTTATATTAACATACATGTATATCAAATCGTCATGTTTTATACGTGCTTTTGTTGTTTACATGTTCATTTCAAACTAGCATGGTGCTTTTTAAACTAGATACAACGTATTATTAGCAATTAAAATTTCAGTAAAGATGATTCTTTATAAACTGTTATTTCATTCATCAGTGTTAATATCAGAGAAAGTGACAGCCTTTTGATTTCCAGACGCCGTGTGTGGACGTAAGTGTTAGATAACTCTTGTGCTGTTGGTGTTTTCTAGAAAAATCAATACCAATTATGTTGAAACATAACTTACAAAATATGGAATAATACAAGTTATTTCTTACAAATAATTTCACTTTAAAATGATGTTTACTTTAATTTAGTTCGATTGTTCTCTCCTGTTAACTTTACATCGAAATTTCTATTATAAATTAAACCTTTGAAAAACGATTAAAAACATGGTATTAAGGCAATTTAAAGTTACAAAAGATAATGCCCTTATTGAAAAAAAAACAAAAAATCTCAAGGAGTCATGATAGATAATGGCAAAAGTTTCCTGCGTAAGCAATTATTTTTGATATGAAACAGTCTGATAATGTTATGACCTAATGCAATACCAAAAAATATATAAACGTTGTTTGTATTAGAATTTATAGGATTATGAGTTCTCCGATCTGAACATATATAGCTATATATTAAGGTTTTCTACAGTTTACTGGTTATCCGTCTAAAAGACTTATATACATAAAAGCTAACCGGTTACCCGGACATGTGATATCAATGTAAAAAAATGATATAAATGTGTATTGAAATCATCAATAAATATGGTAAAATTTTAAAATGATCATGGTTGTACTTAATATGACAGATCAATTATCCAGTATGTTGATTGCTAAACATAAATGTAATTATAAAAAAAAACGTTATATGTCAACTCGGGACTTGAATAAATCTTTAGTAAACACAATTAGTATACATGCATTTTCAACAGCCGATTGAAATTTACGGTTTACTATATTAATTAATCGTTCAAGGCTTCGTCATACTTTCAACGAAATACCGACTCATAAATGGCGAAATTAAAATCAATGTGAATGGACTTGATATAACCTTTCTGGTACGGATTACACGTTAAATTGAACCTCTCCACATTATTCTCTAATAAAATGAAACAATCAACGGGTTCAAATGTTGACTATTTAACGAGATCAAGACGATTTTCATCTTGTCAATATGTAGGTAATACAAATGTGGTATAAAATACTGAGGTGTTGGATTATTAATAATAGTAACCAAAAATGTTCAAAGCGTGATTTGTTTGGCCCTATATATAATGCCCGTAAAAATCTGCTTCAATCTGTCATCAATGATTATTTTTGCTGTTCAATATATATTTACTTCTTAAGGGGTCAATTGACAATTTTGGTCATACAGATGGATGCAGTCCTAACCTGTACAAAAGTTAACATGGAACAGACCTATTGACTGCTTTTCAAGTTAACTTGGGAATTTTTTAGCAGACAAGCAAGTTAACTTCTTCGTTGGTACACCAGACTTACGGTCTGTTTTTTTTAGGATTGCTGCAGACCTTTTGACAGGTCTGCTCCAGACCAGACCTGTGGGCAAGTCTGATTTTGACCAGTCCTGAGGACAGGTCTGCAATAGACCAGAACTGTATACATATTGGCCTCTATATTATACCCATTAAAACAAAATCTTCTGTTTATTTCATATTCTTATATACATTAAACAATGGTTATGAAATTACACACTTGTGATCACATAAAGGCTATCATGAAAGAAAGGAAATTTTGTTTTTAATCAGATGGTGGATAAAAAGGTTATCCAATGCATCGGAACAAAATTGTTATACCATGGGATATCAACATCATTGTCGACGTTGCTTCTTTCCCCATTTTGTACGGTCTCTTCCTACATTTAACTTTATGCATTACATGGATAAATTTTTCATCGTTATTCGCCTTGTTTGCCTTGGATTTACGATTCTGTTTTCGACAAAATGTTATAACGAAAATTGTACAGTGTCCGGATGCATAAGGTGTTGTATAATTATGAACAATCTCGTCAATTTCGTCAGATTAGGCTTTACCGGTTATAAATGATATATGGGACGTCAAAAAAATTTACTCGTTGTGCACATGAGTGAAATAGTTGCCATTTGACATTTAGCGACACAAAAAAAAACAATCAACCGCCATTATATACTAACGGTAAACTATTCCCAGAAGAGAACTTCTTTTACTTTTCATTATAAAGCACAATTGATATCAGACATGTCAGTGTTGGATGATCATCATGATGCCGTCAAATAGTTTTGTTATACACACCATCCTGAACTACTTACTTTAGTGATGGTTGAATATTATGAATACAGAGTTGAAATGCTGACAATTTAAATTGATACGGAGAAGATTATGCATTCATTGTTTTTCAATATTGCTGTCATTTGTATTATACATTCTATCTTGACATAAAACATATTTCTAATCTACTATGCGGCTATATAGATCAACAAAATAAAGAGCAATTATGGTCAGTTTTGGTTGATGCGGTCAAATAATTTTGTTATAGGAGTCAGCCTGAGGTATCAAAAGTACTGAAATTTTGTTACGTATCAATTTTTTTAATGAAAAAGAGGACATGCTGGCACTCTAAATTTATGCTGACAAAATTTTGTAATAATTGTGTTCCAATATTGCTGCCATTTGTATTATACATTCTATCCTGACATAAAAAATATTGCTGACTTACTATGTAGCTATATAGATTAACATAGTAAAGTGCAAATATGGTCAGTTTTGGTTGATGCAGTCAAATAATTTTGTTGTTGAAAGATATAAGAAGATGTGGTATGAGTGCCAATGAGACAACTCTCCATCCAAGTCGCCTGAGGTATCAAAACTACTGCAATTTCGTTACGTATCAATATTTTGAATAAAAAGAGGACATGCTGGCACTATTTATTTTTGGGGACAAAATGTTGTAGTCATTGTGTTCCAATATTGCTGTCATTTGTATTTTGGTCAGTTTTGGTTATTGTGGTTAAATAATTTTAAAGTACAAGTCTGCCTGAGGTACAAAATGTACCAAAACTACTGAAATTTTGTTACGTTTCAATATTTTGTTTAAAAAGAGGACGTGCTGGCACTCTGAATTAATGCGGACAAAATTTTATAGTCATTGTGTTCCAATATTGCTGTCATTTGTATTATACATTTTATTCTGACATAAAAAATATTTCTGATTTACATTGCGGCTATATAGAGTTACTTTATAATGTGCAAACATGGTCAGTTTTGATTGATGCGGTCAGATAATGTTGTTGTAGGAGTCAACATGAGGTATCAAACCTACTGAAATTTTGTCACTAATCAATATTTTGAATACAAAGAGGACATGCTGGCACTATGAATTTATGCGGACAAGATTTTGTAGTCATTGTGTTCCAATTTTTCTGTCATTTATATTATACATTTTATCCTGACATAAAAAATATTGCTCATTTACTATGCAGCTATATAGATTTATATAATACAGTGGAAATATGGTCAGTTTTGGTTGATGCTGTCAAATAATTTTGTTATAAAAGTCTGCCTGAGGTATCAAAACTACTGAAATGTTGTTACGTATCAATATATCATGTATATTAAACAAAAGGAGGACATAATGGCACTATGAATTTTATGACGGACAACATTTTGTTGTCATTGTGTTCCAATATTGCTGTCATTTGTATTATACATTCTATCCCAACATAAATAATATTGCTTATTTACTATGCGGCTATATAGATATACACAATGAAGTGCAAATATTGTAGAAAGTGGGCAGTATATGGAAAACGAAGAAGATTTTTGATATGTTTTGGAATATGTATTCAATGCCCGTTAGCATTGTAACCAATATCGTATTAAATTGACTTTATTGTTTGTATATTTATAGAGCGGTCCTGGTTACAAGTTAACTTAGTGTTGAGCAGACCAGTCAAAAGTTAACTTAAGATCAGGTCTGGTTCGATCGGAGTTTTCAAAATCAAAGTTAACTTATGTTAACTTATGTTAACTTATGGCAGGACTGGTTTCGAAGTTAACTTATGTCATTAGCGGACCTGTTTCCATGTTAACTTTTTGGCAGACATAAAAACAGTTCTAGGACCAACTCCGCTTTTCAAGTTAACTAGATTGTGGTCCTAGGACTGGTCAGTGCAGACCTAAATCCTTTCATATGTTAACTTTGACCAGTCCCAATGATTAATTATCAAGTTAACTTGCTGTACAGGTAACGTTTAATTTTTCGAAAAACTAAGGATTTTCTTATCCCAGGCATAGATTACCTTAGCCGTATTTGGCACAACTTTTTGGAATTTTGGGTCCTCAATGCTCTTCAACTTTGTACTTGTTTGGCTTTATAATTAATTGATTTGAGCGTCACTGATGAGTCTTATGTAGACGAAACGCGCGTCTGGCGTATTAAATTATAATCCTGGTACCTTTGATAACTAATTAGGACTGCACCCATCTGTACAAACTTTTTTGCAGGTCTTACTTTGCTGAACATTTTTGCTGTTTACAGTTTATATTCAAGATAAATAACCAATTTAGTGGCAGCAACCCAACAATGGGTTGTTCGGTTTGTCTGAAAATTTCAGGGCTGATAAATTTTGACCTTTTGAACATTTTACCCCACGTCAGATTTGCTCTAAATGCTTTAGTTTCTGAGATATAAACTAAAAACTGCATTTTACCTCTATGTTCTATTTTTAGCCATGGCGGCCATGTTTGTCGATGGATTAAAACTTAGGATACAATTTATAAACAAGATACCCTAAGGAACATTTAGTTAAAGTTTGAAGGTATTTGGCCCAGTCGTTTTAGAGGAGAAAATTTTGAAAT